ACTACTACGCCTCTATGTATGACGCGCCGACAGTCGATCGCAAATGTCATAGCTCGATTTTGGCTCGATTCGGAAAATCTCTAATATTATGCATATTATCACTTGAAGTTCTTGTTCCACTACTCATGATTGATATATATATATATATAAAGTACATAGGGCTATTCTACAAGCTATTATGATACTACTTCATAGACCAACGGAACAATTTGAACGAGTTTTGCGGCCGTCGTGCAAAGACTCAGTCGTCCTGCGTTTTTCTCGAAGTCAGGACCCCTGGCACCGATTTGGTACTAGGTACTGTAGGAGCTGGTGTTCGGGATTCGCCGAATGCCCACCTCTTGATTATGGTCAATAAAACAAAAGAATTACTAATCATTATTCCTAATTGAATTTATGCCACTTTGCTGGTTTGAACTCTCGAGCTTACAACACATCAGCTGAGATCACATGATCAATTCACACACTTTCGAGCATCACTTACCATTAGACTACAGGACCTCATATATATCTAGGCAGTAATTGATATATATACCATATCCATGGACTTAGAATAAAATACAATACTTTCTAAGTCTAATACAATACTCTACCATTAGGATTTTGATAAGGAATGACTAGGGTAGACTGGCAACTTTTTCGATGAAAATCAAAGTTGTAGCCCTTGTGAAGGGTAGTCTTTCCATAGTCTCATGACATTTTTTGGTTAAGATTCTAATGAGTTATAAGCAAAATACTATGAAGTGGTGTGTTCAAGAAAGTTCAGGCACCTAGGGTAGACCGTGGGAATCTTTACGATAAAAATCAAAGTTGCAGCCCTTGTCAAGGGTAGTCTATCTGTAGTCTCATGTCATTTTTTGTTTAAGATCCTAATGAGTTATAAGCAAAATACTACGAAGTGGTGTGTTCAAGAAAGTTCAGGCACACAAATAATGTGACCAATGTTTGCTTATTAAGACTAAGAATACCAACAGGAATACAATAGTAAAGAAAGACATTTCGAGTTTTTGGTTATTAGGGACTAGGATTTTGATTAAGGACCATGATAAGGAATGACTAGGGTAGACCGTGGGAATATTTCCGATGAAAATCAAAATTGTAGCCCTTGTCAATGGTAGTCTATCCATAGTTTCATGACATTTTTTGGTTAAGATCCTAGTGAGTTATAAGCAAAATACTAGAAAGTGGTGTGTTCAAGAAAGTTCAGGCACACAAGTAATATGACTGATGTTTGTTCATTTTACTAATATTAGTGTAGACTATTGTATTAGACTATCGAGTTACTACACTATTACTTAGTAGTGTTAGTCTTGTAAGCCCTGTCAACCTTGTGAGGCCTGTGCAACCTTGTACATGTCTGTGAGGCCTGTGAGGCCTGTCACGAAAATCCTAGTTTGCTGATGTGGAGCAACTGCTGTGTATGGACTGGATTCTGGGCGAGGTAAATGAAGTCCACGAGGACACAGATTGCGTGAACAAATCTGGGTGAAGCAGCACCTGCAATTGAGGCAACAATAGCGCATTGAATGTCTCTGTGCTCGTGGCCTGTCATTTGCTTCACATGCGTGATGCCTTTCATGAAGTGGCACATTCTGAAACATTTATGCTGGATTATGAAGCGAGTATTGAGCTCATAAGTTCCTATGGCCTCCTTGATCCATTTGAGCGGATGGTTGGTGAAAATTTTATGGCCAGTATGCAGGACTTCACCAGCGAGGAAGACAGACAGACATGTGAACAGCCAATCACGCCAGTATGGCATGTGAACTCCCGACAGATTGACAGCTTTGGCTGCTTTCTGGTACTTGTTGAGTTTCTAAGGATCAGTGATTTTGCCTAGATCGACAATGAGTTGTAATGTATGGGTGGAGAATCCCATCACCAAATTGCTCTTGTATTGCCATAGTCAGAGGGGATGAATTTTTACTGACTGCAGCGATCATGCTAGCCTCGGGCAGATTGCATACATAAGTGACGAGCAGTGTAAAAACATAACAAATATATTGGAAAGGATCAGGCATAAAACAACCATCTCCTGCTGTGGCCTTTTGCTCAAACACAAATTTTTTGTTCTCCTCCACAGACTTGGCGGTGTCGTAGTACTTGAGGGTCTTATATGTGTTTGTGTGAATGTAGTGACATGTCATATACCATACACTGAGCCCCTGAATCATATCCCATCTCTCCCAACAAACAATGTCCGGACCTCCGAAACGTAGCCAAGCCATACCTTAACCCTATCCATACCCCTCAGCAGGATCTGCCCTGCTTCCCCTAACCTGTTCAACACAAAGTCCGGATCCCCTATATGTCGGATCTCCTATTTGTCGGACATCCTATACATTGGACCTCCTCCTCCTGCATACCTCGGATGTCCTAAAACGTCGGACCCACTCAGGTCCACTTACCCCCTATTCATCGGACCTCCTATTTTGTTGGATCCCACCCATGTCATCTGCTTGTCCACTTGTCCGCTTGTCCGCTCCTCCTGCATACCTCGGATCTCCCATATGTCGGACCTCCTAAAATGTCGGACCCACTTGGGTCCACTTAACCCCTAAGTGTCAGACCCTAAACATCGGACCTGCTCAGATCCTGAGCCTCAGACCTGTTTAACCCCTAAAACATCGGACCCACTTCACAGTTCATCTCCGTCCCCATTTCCCGTGATCTGCTTGACAGTTCATTTCCGGTCCTGCTCCTATTCTGTTACCCCATTTGTATAGTCCCCTTGTTCTAACCCCTATATGCCCGGATCTGCTTGACAGTTAATATCCGACTTCATTCTTGATCATATCTCCTATGCCCGGATCCATTTGATACTTCATCTCCGTCTCCATTCTCGTTCCTGTATTATTTTCCTTGTGCCTGTCAGTTTAACCTTTCCGTATGTTCCTCTTGTTGACCCAGATCTCCGCTGACTCCTTTCCCGTCACACATGTCCATAGTATATAATACCTTGTAAACTCGTAGTAGTTTCCTCAGTTCAAATATCACCTTAGATTATCCTCATTGCTGTTTCCTGGGACCCGGACCTATTTCCATGGGCCTGGGTCCACTTCCGGCACCCTCCCTGTCCAACCTCTGAGTCCTCGGATTGATTCCTTGTGCTATATCTCCGCCTCTACCTTAGGGTAGTCTACCTCCGTCAGTTTCTACTCTAGACATTGTCTAGTGTAGTCTTACCCCTAGTTTCCGCATTCTCAGACTTCCTGTCGTCCCGTCCCCTCGGACTTCCTGTCTTCCTGTCTTTCCATCCTTACACTTGTCTGTTCTGTCTGCCATGTCTGCCGGACCAAAGCCTCTATTATCCGGCGGACTAATCTGCTTATGTCAGCTGGACTAACCCTATGATCGGCCGGACGAACCCTCCTTATGTCGGCCGACTAACCCTCCTTATGTTGGCCGGACTAACCCCCTTATGTTGGCCGGACGAATTCCCATTACGTCGGCCGACGAACCCTCCTTACCTCGGACGACAAACCCCCTTTACATCGGCCGGACAAACCCCTTTATGTCGGCCGGACTAATCCTCTTATGTCAGCCTGACTAACCCTATTTCCGGCCGGACTAACCCTCTGAAAACCCGCTGGACTAAACCCCTGAACATCAGCCCGAATCTTCCCCACGACAACAAAGCAACGTTTAGATCGCTCTGGGGCACGCTGAGAGCAAAAAAGGAAATTGCGGCATGTCGGCGGCAGGCACGTCCCCCGAAAATCGCTTACTAGCGGGATTGCACAACTGACGGCAGTCTTTAGTGGTCGCGACTTTCGGGGTGCGTTGATCCTCTTCGCTGACACCCTAGAAAAATATGTTGATTGTCTCTGCAGGTCTCGCGTCAGTGGCATGGCTTGTGTGCAGTGTGCACTGTTGAAAACGAGTGCACAGGCTCGTTTGTGACCTCACCCCAATTGCCATCAGAGCACTGGCTTCTCTCGCACGTCAGGATGCTCAGGCGAGTCCTTTTGGTAAGTTTACGATACGACCAAGTTATTTTTGAGCTAACAATAGGCATTGTGGGCAGCCTCAGACGCCGAGGTTTCAAAACACCGTGCCCCATGAACTTCTCCTCCCATTAATGTTCATGGGGCACGGTCTTTTATTGCTGTATGTTCCCTTTGCTCTCCCTTTGCTGCGTGCCCCATGAAAAACCAGAGCCGTTTGCATTCATGGGGCACGGTACTCGATTAGGAATGGTGTGTTTTCTTTTTCACCTCTCACCACGCACCCAGTCACTTACCACAGTGCTCTGTGCTCTGTCACATCTACAGCTCTTGGCAGCCGTCTGATCTGTCAACGGATCACGGCAGCTCTGTCCGCAGAGCTCATCCTCCCCGTCTTCCCACCACCACCCACACTCTCAGGCCACAGGCCCCAACACATCATCATCGGCTGCCTCCACGCACCATCTTCCACGCCTACTTGCCCTGTGCTTCCTCTCGCTAGCGTGCACGGCTATCGCGCACCTTCTCCTTGCACATCGCGTACACCACGCACCGTCAGGACCTGCCGGGACACACCATTGCCTGGGTACGGGGAAGTCCCCACTGTGCACACTGTCTCGTTGTTCGTGAACCCGCCCCATTGCCTGCCGAGCGTGTCGCTCCTTGCTGCTGCATCCCACCCTTTCGTGTCAGAGCCACGTCACACGTGTTTTCGAGGTATGTGACTCTTTTTTAACTTCGTTCCAGCGGTGCTCACCAGAACACAACCAGGGTGACCTGCACAGTCGGCAGCCGAGCCAACCAGTGGTCTTTTTTACATAGCCTGGTAGCTGGAGTTCGTCTTCACGGTATGTCTCTCTTTCTTCGATGTTCCCGCTGCTCCTCCTTGCAAAATGATTTTCTTTGCTGCTGGACTTCTCCAGCAGTGATATTTCAATTATTTTTGGCTATTATGTAAACAACTAACTACCTTGGCAAGGTGTTGTCTCTCGCTGCTGCTTTCAACGACGAGAGACGAGAACTGAGCTGACCTTCTCTTGGGACAGGCTATTACAATGGCGCGGAAGCCTCGACTGACGACAATATCACCTGGAAGGGCCAAGATCGCGCCGCTAGAGAAAGAGGTAAATCACCAATCCTACCCTATCTTCCGTGCAACGAGCTGATACTTTGCATCCCTACTGTGACAGATTGCTGACGAGTGAGTCCGGCTGGACCTCGAAGAGGCTGTATGGTGCGATGAGCACCTCGACAGTCTGATGACGAGCTGCCTTGAGGATTTCCTGGACGACAATGAGTCCGAGCTAGCAGAGTATGCCGCTGGCATTGCACGAGGCAGCATCACTGATCGGACGCGAGACGGGCATGCCAGGTGAGTCAAGCTCCTGATCACTTTCACAGTTGGAATTTACCCTGTCTGACAGAATAATCAAGGCTTATATTGTGTTCCACAAGCAGCACAACACTGAATGGGACCCGACTGCTGTCACGGGTCAAACACCTTATGACATCCGCACCTTCATCACCCACAAGTGTGGCGAGAAAAATAAGGGGTACGAGGGCAAAAGGGTACGTTCTTTGGTGGTTTCCTTTATGACAGGCATCTGACACGAAGGTCACAGCCAGTTCTCAACTGCCGTTTCGACCCGCGCAGCACTCAGTTACTGGTACCGGCACTGTCGACCCAATGAAAGTGTTACCGAGTGGCGCTGTGACGAAACCACTGGCGTGTGGTAAGTGCAAGTCATTGTCGCTGCACATTTGGTTGCAGTCCATGAGACCCAGTGAAAGTCGGACATGGCCATTTCCACGCGCAGCCACGCAAATCTACTGTGGCTATGGCACGTCGAATCGCGTAGTCATGCGTCGGTATCTGCGCTTTCTGTAGCTGCAAAAACGACGCGCATCGGCGCTGGTGTATGCTTTTCGACGCATTGACTACTAAATAGAATTCCGTAGATTTAAATATAACTGCATGTCCCTTTGATATCTTGCTGGCTTCGACGCAAATATACGGAAATCGATGCATTGCAACGTAGCATATGATACGAATCATGCCACTAAAAACCACCTGCGCTCGTACCCGGGCCCGCCCCCGCGCTCACGCTCATACCCGCCCCCGCGCTCGCGCTCGTACCTGGCCCTTCTGCCTGATGCTGCCGCCGTGCTAGAACAATGTACTGCTGGAGAACTTACTGATCACTTCGACAGTGCTGCCGGTCCAAATGCCATCAGATATCTGGAAAGGAGACACATCAGTACACTGGGAAAACATGGTAGCGCTCACCAGTTTTTTTGCGTCTGTTTCATATTTCTGAAGGAGAACACTACGAGTTAGTAATGCAAATGGCAGAACGAAGATAAACACACCTCCTGACGGTCTTTTCCCAGCGAGTCCCAGTATAATTTGAAATCCCGAGAGTAGCCATTGGGTGCGAGTTGTTTGAGCCAGCGATGTGCGCAAAGGTTTCTGTAGTGGGGCTACGTTAGCAACATAAAATGAGAATATTAGTATTAGCGAGACTCACCTCCCGTTCTTCGTAGTCGCAGGGCGGAAGTTTTTGCTGGTAGGGCCAGGCTTTCCTTGCGAGTCTGCATTAAGAGTATCTGCATGAGGTGCGATTGCATCGTCTGCAGACAGCGTTGGTAGCGTAGTGTCGACGGGTGCTGCGGTTGGTAACATATTGGCGGGAGCAATCGAGGGCGTTGGCAAAGCATCACAAGGCTCGTCATTTTTCTTTTCCTTGAGGCGGATAATGGCATCTTTTCTGAAAGCCAAAGTTCGTCAATGTAGTAGGTATATCGAGCAGAAAATCACTTACAAAGGGTTTCGAAGTGGAGCAAATAGGGTTTTCGGCTGTCGCGAATAAAGTAGTTCAGATCGCATGAATGCAGATAACTACTGAACTTACTGGATTGTTTGTCTGAGGCCTTGGGCTCGGCGACAATGGCACCAAAAGAGATGATGAAGGTGGATCAGCAGACTCGGTATTTGAAGAAGAAATCTCGGGTGGCTCTGAGTCGCGAGCCTCTAAATTCGTGTCAGCTGTTTTCGCACGTTTCGAATCGTGTTGACATGTATCGGCAGACTCGACCATCTTCGCCTTTCGCTTTTGTGGTTTTACGCGTGGTTTCATCTCCTCAGGGTCAGTAGACGAAGAATCTCCTTCCTTGAGATGAGTGGATGCCCATGATGGGTAGCGGTCTCTAGCGATGTGCTCGATCTTCCAGTACCTGTCGCAAAGGGCTAATTCGGGGTGTAAGCGAGACACTTCTTTGTAGAGAGCGTTGCGAGCATCGGGGATTGCTCGACCCCATGAGATCGGCGCTATTCCACGTTGTCGGAGGCCAAACCAGACCGCGCGAAATGTCTTCATGATGGCACGTTGCTCGGATGCTGTGACAGGGTCCCCATTTGTATGCTCGAGGAAGGGTAATGATCCCCGCTGGTCGCCTTGTGCATCAGCAGCGCTGTCCCATTTCTTGAAGTCTTCGTGAGTCCAAAAATTGACGAGAGGGTAGTCCTCCTTTCGTAGACCAGTGACAGGGTTGCAATCAATAGCATCAGTCTTGACGGGGATTTTGAGTGGTTGAAGTAGTGTATCAGAGCCTGAATACAAAGAAATGTCGTCTGATAGTGAAAGTGAGTGCGATAAAGTTTCAAATGCAGCTCTAAGCTTGGGGTTTGTTAAGCTGCTGAAGATAACGGGAGAAAACAAACTGATAAGCATCTCGGGATGCAGTAAGGGTCAAAATTTGACGATTCAAATGTTCATTGACAAATCGCAGACGAATATTTTCGTCTTGGACTTGTGCGAATGTATGCTGTGAGTGATTATATGCGCTGTTTTGAACATAATACAACATATTCAATCTCACTGTATTGTTTGGAAAGCTTCCACCGTGATGCAAAAGGCCATTCCAGCCTTGATTCAGCTGACCCTGCGAAGGTACGAGAAAGGGTGATTGTGCACTAGCATGGCCCGGGAGCTGGTGGTTATTGTTGTATAGTTGATTCATGCGGCTGAAATCTTGAGCCTGAGGCTGGTAGTGTTCATCAGACATGACAGACATAGCAAAATAATTGAGAACCGAATGAGCGAAAATTGTGTGGAGGTATTAAGCAAAGGGGCATCAGTATCGTCCAAGGGTGGTTAGAATTCTGCCTCCGCTGGAATATCCCGTTATGGGTCCTCGAGTCGGTGGCTTTCATTTACAGTACCAAGTCCTTCGTGTAGCATTTTTATCAAATACCCCAATGCCTATTGAAAATTTCGGAACAGGTACTTCTATTCTTCTCGCTCATTATCGTTATCGTCCTCTTCAGCAAATACTCCGGTATATGATACATCGAGCCCGGTCTTTTCAACAACAAAGACTCGGTCCTCGGTAACTCCAGATGGTAAAGTAGGCCGATGAGGTATAACTGCGACGACGGCCTGGATATCGGTGACATCTACAACACGAAGGCCAACTTCACCTTGATTCGTGCAAGACCAAACTGTCTGGTGCGACAATTCAAGAAGCTGTTTGTCAGGTGCGGAATATAATGAAACAAGTGCGACAGTCCTGAATCGCCATGCTGCCTGTGGACCCTGTAATCGGCGGACAAAATCTTCAGGGTCCTCGTCATCACCAGGTTCAACATCATTTCGAATGGCGAGCTGCGTGAAATATTGGACCTCCCCATAGCAAGTTGTTCCATCAATCTCGAGCTGAGAATATCAATTAATTTGAGAACATGCAATAAATATATGAAGTACCTTGACGTTTCGCGACATTCGCGTTTTTTCTAGAGGTCGCAGTGCTTCCTTCCATGCTGAACGGGCCACTTGTCCATTTGGGAGCCGAAGGCGCGACCACCGATACATTTTAGGTGCATTGCGGCCCAGAAATTCAGATATGAGTCTTTTCTCCGTGTCTGTGTCTGGATACCTTGCCCGCTTCTCTCGTGCTCGCAGTAAAATGTAGCCATCTCCAACATCAAACGAATACCGCGGATGGAGATTAGAAGGTGGTTGGAGATGGGGGAACATCGCTTTCATGGCATTTATTTGACACCGGATGAGGCAAACTTGAGTTAGACACGCATAGGGAAGTTTGGGTTGGCGAAGATCAAATTCGATATCTGCAAACGTCCTCTCCATTGTCCATTGCGAAGAGCAAATAGGCGATCCGACACGAAGGCATTCAGGTGCGAGATGATTTGATAGGTGAGCACAAGGCCGGATGAAGTGAATACGGTCAGCTCTACGTTGATAGTACAAGTTTTCGAACTCGAGTTCCCATTCCGCAAACAGCGTGAAAGCTTCGGTGACTTGGGCAGGGGTGATGCTGTATTGACTCATAATTCGCAGTGCTTGTGTGAACTTGCAGAAATTCTGCCAGTATTTTTGAGGGAGAACACCGTGCAGCAGTGCCGGTGCGAGCCCAAAAAGCCACGTAATGAATTCACGGGCTTTGTAGTGAGTGTTGATCTTCTCTGTGGGGTTGCGAGGAGGGTTGTCGAACGAGCCTGGTAAGTATGGCTGACAAGCAGCGACGGCTCGACCATGTGCGTCCCAGGTATCATCGACAAGGACAGCCCAGTCCCAGGTCGAATCATCGTCTGTTGGGCTGCAAAGTATCAAGCCGCGCCATAGGTCTGTAAACAATGCTGCCATATTGGCACCAGAGAAGTGCATTATCTCCGTAGAGAAACACTCGGGGATACCGAGAATGTGTCTCGTCTCTAAACCAAGGAGGATACTCGGTCCTACGATACCCGTATTCAGCCTATTGGCCTCGTACTGCGACTGCCTGCTGGATCCCATCAAAATACGAAGCCTCTGAATGTAGTTCTCGGAGGTTCCTTGAGAAGTATCGGCTGGGTGTAGGTCACCATGGTTGCATCCGCGAACATCATAATTACGAGGCTGCAAGAGGACAGGATAATAATGATTGCCGCGAGGTTTACGACGCCCCTCAAGGCCACAAAGCATGCGACAGCCATTTTTGCCATTGTGGCCAACGAGATTGCTTATGCAGACCAGGCCTGGTCCATCTGCACAGGCGAGGATGAGAAACGGGTTCGAGATGAAGATGATATCACGCCACGCATCCCAAATAACGAGCCCTGCTTTCTGAATTGAAGCGAGGTGATGAAACCCGGGAAAGAAAAATGATTGCATATATTTGGGTTTGTTCGGACCAGGAACTACAGTGCCAGGAAGAACGTGCTGCTTCTTGTAGCGACGATCGGGAGGTATGTCAACAATGATCCAGATGTAGACCCAACAGTCTGACTGTTTGGTCTCGTACAATTGAGCTCCGTCAACCGATATAACAAGAACCATGTCCTCCGGTTTGATGCGGCCATGACGAACAGCATCAAGGTATGACGACCCAGTGATGATGTCGTCGTAGGCTATGGGAAGACCATCATTACGTTCCAACTGCTCAATTATCTCCTGCGTGCGGCGACGGCGGTAGTGCATCTGACGAGCACTATCAGGATGCTGCCAGAGAGCCTGAAGCTGTGGGCCAATAGGGAAGGTATGGAATACCTGCTGAGGCTGCTTGACTCGGCCTCCACTCAGCTGAAGCTTAATGGGGTCATATCGTGGCTTCTGACACATCGGACATTCGTCAAGCTCAGCGTACGGACCGACAAAGGCCACGCAGGAGTCGATGCACATATCCTTGATAATAGATGTCACTCCCGAGAGGTCGCTGATGATTTTTTTCACCCGGTGTAGACTTGGTATATCATCCTCGGGATGTCGCGCGAGAGTAGCAGCACGAGTCTTATGAAAAGCATCTTCTGATGAGTGCTCGAGGGCGAGAAAAAGGGAGACACCATACTCGATGTCAGCACTACCAAACTCTGGTTGACGTCTTGGTGGGTTTCGCAAACGTTCGAGTGCATCCCCTGTGAGTCCAATCCCATCATCTAGCGATGCCTCCCGAAGAGCAAGAATAAACTTCATATCACGTTGTAGATCTGGGAGACGAGCATTGCGAGCAAGTTCCTCAAAATCAAGGTCGGAGAAAGGATCTCGCCATTCTTCAAATTGCTGGGGGGGGTGATTTGGATTATCAGGAGGAGGGGGATTGTCATTGCCGGGAGGAGGGGGATTGTCATCGCCAGGAGGAGGGGGATTGTCATCGCCAGGAGGAGGGGGATTGTCATTGCCGGGAGGAGGGGGATTGTCATCGCCGGGAGGAGGGGGATTGTCATCGCGAGGAGGAGGGGGATTGTCATCGCCGGGAGGAGGGGGATTGTCATCGCCAGGAGGAGGGGGATTGTCATCTCCGGGAGGAGGGGCATCACGAAGGGGAGTGGCATCGCGAGGAGGAGGGGCATCACGAAGGGGATTGTCATCGCGAGGAGTACTAGTAGCGCCTCGAGGATCTTCATTCTGCAAAATACTATTAGAATCATTGTCCTATTGAATTTTAAACAATAAAGGACATACCATGCGTCTTCGTTTAGTGGATATATTTGAACCACCAACTTGCAAATCGGTTGGCCGTTTCAGACTGCGAAATTCATCTGATAGTCCTGCACACCGTATGGCTGCCTTCTCGTCTTCACCGGCCTCCTTCAAATGATTTTGCCAAGTTCGCAGTGACCTGAGCGGTGTTCGGATTCCGAGGCAGTATTTCGTGCAAACGCACCAATGCACATCTGACATTGGCAAGATGATATGGGATATGCTAGACAAAATATAACTTAGTACTAGCACGCGCGAAAAGTACCCAAAGGCTTACCAGTATTTTGGTTGCTTCTTGTAACAAAAGTGCAGTGTGCCAGCTCCGCCTTGTTATGCTTTTCGCCCCCCGGCACACCAAAGGGAGTTACACGGCAAGGTGGGCAGAGCTCTGAGGACACAAAGTTGTGATGCGCAGCCAGCACCGTGAGGTGAGTTGATCAGTTCTACAGTGAGACTGAGGTGCACTGATGCGACGTTGTTGAACAGATGTTGAACGTTATAATGTTACGCTGCTGCGTCGCTGGCAGGCTGCACACTGCGCAGTGCATACGCGTTCGATCAACACAACTGATCACATGATCAAGCTAAGTCTAATTCCGTCGAAGTAACGATAATTTACATTTATAAAATCTAATTCCATAGTTCTACGTGGAAATGGCCATGTCCGACTTTCACTGGGCATGAGACATCATTGAGCAGCCATGGCCTCCCCACACGAGCTCGAGCTGTGTCAGAATTCATGATCGGGCTAGAGAAGATGAAGGCCAGGTCTGGTGAGGTATCACAGTCTGCGCGTGCCCTTCTGCGTGAAGACATGCACCGCCTCAATGACTACTGCATGAATGCTACTTGCATGCCTGAGGAGAGAAGGTGGGGAGTCGTTCGCTATGTACGTGCACATGGTTGCATCACTTGTTCTTGCACCCGACAATTACTGTGCAGGCAGCCTATCTCTTTGCGTGGCTGATGCTGCTTCAAATCGAGGAGGTAGTCACCCTTGAATTTTCGAGTGTTGAGATCATTCCAGGCGAGCGTAGGTGCTAAACCACTAGGCTCTTCTTTCTGTTGTCTGACATCCACACCTAATAGGAGCGTATGTCGAGATTCGCCTCAAGACCCGTAAATCTGCACAGACTGGTGTCCTGCACACTTGGCGCCTGTGGGCAAATGATGCTGACCCGAGACTTTGCCCTGTGCGAGCTCTTATCCGGATCGCATGCCTCTATGGTTCTCGTGTGCCACTGAGGGGTCCCCTCTTCTTGCGCATCGGGAAGTTTGGTGACATCCTGCTTGATCAGCCTGTGGTAGGTCCCACTCGACTGTGATCATTAAATTGATGTCACGACAAGCTGATGTTCTGCAGTCCACCAGCATTCTTAGCCGTGCCCTGACAAGTGACCTTCAGGGACTTGCATACTCATCCTGGGCACTCTATGGTACACACTCATTCCGACGACATGGCTGTCAGCACCGCATCCGCAACTGCAACTTCGACGTGAGCATGGTTGCTGCCTGGGGTGGCTGGTCACAGGTCGAGGCATTGACCATGTTCCGTTACTTCTACTCGCCCAATGACAACCACGAGCACATGGTTGAGTACGACCGTAACGATAAAAAGCGGGCGAAGTTCTAATATCGAGAGATCCTATTAATTTTACAAGAGAGTCCATCATATTCATCAAACTCTAGTCTAATCTCCCAAGTAAAGTAGTGAGACGAAGCAGCATGATTTAATTTGTTCACATTCATCCTAATTGCCTTGGGGGTGCCTTCTTGTTCCCGTACCACTCCTTCCCGAGTTCTCACCAGACATACCAGTCATTTCTATCCCCCCAGACAGCCCTCCACAACTCATCGGAGAATTCACCACTCGCTGGGTCAACATATCTGGTATTCCTTCTCTCGTCCCGCAAGTCCTTCTGACAGCGAGGGATGGCTTCGACAACCATTCGCAATGCTACCAGTGTTGGCTCACTAGCACCCCGCCGCTTCTTGCTCCCAGAGGCAGCAGAGACCGTGAAAAATTCAAAAAAGCAATGTTTGTCACCTTTGAAAGCACCGGCGAGCAGGCCATACAGCCGCTCGCGCTTCGTGATCTTGCCCTTGAGATGCCCCCACATCTCGTCGGTGGCTCTGCCATCTCGGGGGCCATAGTGTTCACGCACACGGCTCACTGTTCCATCTTCGACCTGTTGAATAGCGTCACGGAGGTCCTGGGCACGCTGGATGCTCTCCATGTCAAGCTGGCAGCTGTTGAGTACCGCCACGTCATTGACAGTGCGGGGCAGGACAACAGGAGCCTCGGTGAAAAGTGGCACCGACGAGCCAGGAGACATCTGCACGGTGGCAGTATGGTTGGGTGCAACAAATGGAGGAAGTGCTGAGCCGTCCCCTCGAAGTACGAGTGGCATTGACCCAGGTTGGGCAAAGATCGTGACAGGGTGCACAGACTGAGCCATTGATGTGGTGGGCACCAGCACCTGCAATTGCTGAGAGATCAGCACGAGAAACGGGAGAAACATACTAGTAGGGCTCATAACTCACCTGTGGGATCATCTGAGTGGCAGGCAGTTGTGCAGCGGCATTGCCCAAGCCTGACAGACGTGAGATTGCAGTCGAATCTCCATCGCGGGCGGCTCCAATGAGCGCGGAGATCGTTTCATTGTTTTCCGTCTGTGTTCGCCCATCGAGAGAGAAAGGAGATGGGGGTAGCGGATGGCGTGGTATGCACAGTGAGATTCGCCAGCAGCTTGACAGCCTCCTGCAGAAGGCTCGCATTGCAAGGTTCTGTATTTGCAGGGTTGAACAACACATCAGTCGAGAGTTCAGGAACGCAGAAGACGACGTACCGGAAGATCCGTCGGATAGGAAAAATTCCTTTCCACAAGCGGCCGCGCTGCTCCACTCTTCCCCGAGCTCCTGGAGCCAGCTGAACTGGCGTTGCTTGATATGGTCTTCGTGTGTCTTCGGCACGACAGCAGCGACAACTGGATCCTCAGCCAAAAGGTCGAGGCCATAGTAGTTTGTGAGCCTCTTCCGCTGCTCGTCGATATGGCCGTTCTTCGTCACAACCCTCTTCCCTGCAGCGGTGTTGGCCTGACCGATCCAGAATGCGACCTCCGCACCCTTCGCCTCCTTCAGCAATGCACACGTCAAGCCGTCCGGAAGTGGAACACTTGTCATTCAAGTTGTCGAGAGATGACTCGGGGGTGTGTCGTCGATTTGCAAGACTTGAAGAGAACGAGAACGAACGAGAACGAGGGAGGGGAAGAGAACTTGAGCTGGCGCAGTTTTAGTGTGTCAACGAGCGAGAGAAACGGCGAACGAGCTCACCCATTACACTATACACGAACGAGCTCACTTCGCAGTCCTAAGGTAGGTATGAGGTATGGCGAGAAGACCACCCAAAAACGCCCGATTTGGCGAGCGATACGTTTTGCCGCCGGCGCCTCCCCTTTCTGGGAACTTGTGGGGTCTTTACCACAGCCATCGTGCCTCGGGGCACGCGCTTGGTCATCCTCCCCCGCCAGATCAGCGTGCCCCATGACAACAAAGCCTACCAGACTTGTCCCCTTGAAGTCCACCGGGATTCATCATCCTCCCTCGGACTTTGTTTCTAGCCCTCGGAAATTGAGGGCATGTACTCGGGTAAGGGGCGCAGCGCACGAGCTGAAGCCAAGCCCTTCGGATCCGCCCCTTGAGCACGGTCTTAACATGACACTACAACTACACTTTGATAAGACAAAAGTTGCCAACTCCTCAAGTACACGGTCAACAGATTTTCTAGCTTTGCCTTTTGATAATGTGTCGTTTGTGGGAGGCTCAACTATACAGTCTGTCATTGGTTCTTGGAATGAGGTTCAGTTTTGGATGAGTTCATAGACCTAGACAATAGGCCTGATATGATGAACTGTGTAGAATAGATGGACTAGACTATGTTGACAAATGGTTTGTCCAAATGGTCCTTGGACAAATATACAAGTGGATGCACTACACAACACTTGGCTGAAGTGTGTGGATCCTTTGTTAAATGAGGGACCTTTGGTAAGGAGCAAAAGTCTTTGATGGTGTGGAATTTTGGAATCTGACTAAGCTTTACCCAAGCAAGTCCTTGCTGAGCTTACTCAAAGCAAGTTATGACTTGTAAATGATTTGTCTGAATGATCCTTGGACAAATGTGTGATGAATGGGAAGCTGACTGAGCTTTTCCCAGACAAATCTTTGCTAAGTAATCACAGCAAGAATATCCCCTGAAGTGTGTTTTGTCCAATGTGGCTGAATCTTACATAAGATGCACAAATACAAAGAACAAGAGAAACAAAAGCAAGAAAGTCAACAAATATAAATATAAATAGAAGTAAATAACACTTGAGCTTTCTGCCACTTTTTACTTCTCTTGCCCCAACATAGAGTAATCAGTCTAAATCTAAATTGAAAGCTTTTGGACTAGTATACCCTTATCCTATTGAATGTCAATGTATGATCTTCGTTTTATGCATGACAGTGGCTATCCCATTTTCTGTGCAGTTGGCAGTCTGTGGCGTTCGGTGAACGTTCACACGAGATAGCTGACTTCGTCGAAGCTTAGATATCGAGCAGAGGGAACTGGCCGAACTAAGACTTGTTATTTCGGGGGAGAAGGATCAACTGCCTAGCTACACTACATATACTTGGTTTATATAGGGTAGGAGGCATCGGGAAATATAGGGTTAGAGAAAATAAAGAAGGGGGAAAACGGGTACATCAATATATCAATGCTAATCGATACAATAATTGGTGACTTAGGCGTTGTGCGCCTAAGTCTTTTTATCGAACGTCACATACGCCCTCCATCTCATCCGAGAGGAGGAGGTGCTAGACTGTGAGTTCGTTTTGTGACCTTACTGGCCGACTGGAACATCAGTCATGGCAGCTCCAAACGCAGCTATTAAAACGCAAAGGGTCAGAACCTGCAAGGTGAGGAGGCTTATGACGAAGACTCTACCCAGGAACTGGTCATCAGTCATACTCCTGATCCTAGCGTCACGTTCAAGGTCGAGCTGCTCGGCAGCGGCGATGATGTCATCGACGTCGGCGCCTTGGTCTACGCTCGGCGGTTCAGAGGAGATGGGGGCAGGGACAGGCTGGGGAGCAGTCACTTGAGCAGTAGCGGCGGAAATCACTTGTGCAACCGTAGTGGGGACTGATGGGCGAGTGCTGGGAGTGCTCGCAACAGATGAGCGAGTCCTCTGGTATGGAGGTTCGCGGTTCCTTTGGCGGTTGTCGATGGAGAGATGACGGCTGCTAGCCACTCGGGGCTTAGAAGCGTATAAGCGCTCTCGTTCAGAGCGAAGCTGCTGCTCAAAGGCATGAGCTTCCTTTTTGATGGCTAATTCCTCTAGGAAAGACAGAGCGTATGGGTCAAGACGGATAGCTGGAGGGAGGTAACGATCCCTCTCACTGGCTTTAGCCTCAGTTCTGAAGAACTGAGTGAAGGCGTTAAGGGCCTCAGAGTTCGGCTCCATGTAGGAGGACCGGTATCCGCGTCCACCACGCCCTCTAGGACGATCGTTCCTCCTACTAGAGCGCGTAGCTCGAGGGGCTCGGTGACGGGTATTGGGCGAGGGTATCTCGCCCGGCTCGCTTGGAGCAGGGGGAACGTCAACATCGACGATCATTGACTCGGGGAGAGGAGAAGGATGAGAGGTGTGAGACATGGGGTGATGAGGGGGATTGTTGTTGGGGGGAGACGGTAGGTGATTACTCGTTTTTATACCCAGCTGGACCAATCCACTTGGTGACATCTCTGCAGGTAAACTGGTGAGCATCTGAGCGATAACCCGGTTAACGACAAGCTTAGCTTCCTCGGCAGTTTCTACTGCGGCAACGCTAATGTTGCGGGGTGCCTGAGCAATTTTCTTAGGCAGATGCCTGATATTGGGTACCCCAAGGGCCTCAAGATACTGGCCAACGGCCTCCAATCGAGATACTTCGTGGTATGGAAGCCAAACGCGATCACCGGTCGTGTACTCGACCTCGAATAGGGAGTCCATGCCCTGTCCAGTGTGGTTGGAGATCCGGGCTACTGACCACTCTTCAACTTTACCGATATTGGCAATCTGGGTTAGTTGTCGCCCAGGGAAACGACGATCGTCGTTGGGAATGTGGAGGCGAAGAAGGTGGGCATGAAACGAAGGGTGCAGTCCCCTTTGTTTAAGTTCCGGCGGGATGTCAAGGAGATATGAGTTGTTACGGTAATCTTCAAGTATATTGAAGGGCCCGATGAATTTCGGAGAGAGTTTCCGCGCACGGCCTTTCGGGAGTGAAAGGTTCTCGGTGGAGAGATAGACAAGGTCGCCCTTGACGAATGGGGCTTCCTTTCGTTTGAGGTTGGAGACGGCGGTACTTTTGACGCGTGAGGCGATTAGTGCGTCATGGGCCGCCATGGAGGCATCTTTCATCTTCTGCGCGAAGGCTCGAACGCCAGGGTAGTCAGTAACTACGTTCCAAATCATAGATGGGGGTGTTCTCCCATACACTAGCATGAACGGGGACTCTCGTCTGGTTTCCGAGCTCGCTGAGTTGACGGCGAATTCGATCATGGGGAGCTTGGTCGCCCAGTCGCGTTGGTTGGGAGAGACGCACTGCCTGAGCATCTGCGTTATCGTTCTGTTGGCCCGCTCTGTGATCCCGTCGGTCTGTGGATGGAACGATGTCGACATACGAAGCTCGGTGCCCGTGAGCTCGTTTAGCCTCTGCCAAAATGTACTAGTGAATAGCGAGTCTCGATCGCTTACGATTCGCGAGGGCATACCATGTAATTTGTACACTAGATTGAACATGACCTCGGCAACATCTTTGGCGCGATAGGTCTGTTTGGTGGGAGCGAGGTGTACCATGGCTGTGAGGTGGTCAATTGCCATGAGAATCATGTCGAAGACGCCGTTAAGCGTCTTCGATTCAGGTAGGGGTCCTACGAAGTCCACGCCGATCATCTCCCATGGTCTTGTGGGGACGTCGAGGGGTTCTAGCAATCCGTACGGCTGGTGGTTAGTTGGTTTTGACGTTTGGCACGTCGGGCAAGACTCACAGAATGCCCTTACGTCGGTCGCCATTTCTTTCCACCACACGTTGTCCCGCAGGTAGATAAGAGTTTTAGATGGCCCCAGGTGGGCTAGAATGGAGTGAGCGTGTGAGATGAGCACTTCGCGAATACGACGTTCACCAATTCGCACGTCCGGAATGCACAGAATCCGTCTGTCGTTGTCCTTGAGGAACATTCTACCGTTGCTGAGTTCGAAGTTTTTGAATGCCTGGGGCTGTTCCAGGATTTTGTTAAAGAAACGGTCTTCGTGGTACCTATTTGCTATTTTCTCGTGGATGTCTAACGAGGGATCTCCCATAGCAATTACATTGGTGAGGGTGGCAGGTGACTCAGACAGTATATTCTCAGCGGTACTTTCTGCTGAGTCCATGGTTTGCGTGTTCTGGGCTATGGCGTCAGGCGTCACGTGATTTTGTGGGTCCGTGTTTGTTTGGACTTTGTACTTTGCCTCGTTGCTTATTGTACTGTTTACCCTCTCGCCCTCAAGGGACTTCGAGGGTTGTCCAACCCGTAGAGTCACTTTCCGTACTCGGGAAACAGGTGCGTGCCTCTCGCTGACTTGATCCGCTATCCCAAGGTGGGAGGTAGTCACGACCTCCGTCATCGGTCGATTAAGTGATTCTGATGGAATCACTGGGACAATCGATACTGACGTCCTTTGCTCGTTCCTGCCAGGATCAGGATCCGCAGCGGAACTGCTTACTGGTAGGCTTACACCTGTCGCAGTTGGTTCCCAACCTGGTTGATTGCGCTTTGCCATCATCAGTCCCATCCGCGAGGCTTGGCGGGGCGCTGGAGTCACTCCTATTATACCTGGAGTCTCTCCTATTTTACCTGGAGTCTCTCCTATTTTACCTGGAGTCTCCAAATATCCATGGTGAGTTTTCATACCCGCACGCCCCACTGGATCTGACTCTATCTCCTCCGTCGTGTTAGACACAAGTAGGTTTCCTGTGTATTGTCCAGGTGACCTCATGTCTTCGTTGACGGTTTGTCCAAGTGACTTCCCGTTATCTTCGGGTGAGTCGCTCTGTTTCCTGTTAGTGTCAGTGAAATTTGACGCCACTTCCAGGTTTTGTAGGAGAGCGCTCGAGCTGTTCGAGTCTGCCATGGGTTGGCTCGTCGAGACTGTCCGTTCGACAGCCATGTCTGTCTGCCCTGTGGATCGTTTGTTGGGACGACGACGGATGGGTTGCTCTGGGGTAGGGGCATTGATTCGCTTGATGGCGATTCGAGCTGATCTCCTGGCTTCTGCCGCGCCTAGGAACAACGGTGTACCTGTGTACACTGGCGCGGACACAAAATTCAGAAGTAGGGTGCGTGCCTTGTCGTCTTCCTCTACACTGACGTACTCACTTGCTGACCGTACCGTCCCCTTAGGTTCATTTCTGTATACGCGGGACAACGCATCTGCGAGCGTATTCTCCTCGCCGGGCAGGTAAGTGATTTCAAAGTCAAATTCACTCAACGCTTCTAACCACCTGGCCTGTCTAGGGGAGAGTTTGGATTGAGTGGATATCCACTCAAGTCCCTTATGGTCCGTGAACACGCGGAACTTAAACCCAATCAGTAAGTGTCTGAAACGTTTCAACGACTCAACGATTGCTAAGAGTTCTTGCTCGTGGACAGGATAATTCTGCTGAGCAGAGTTGAACTTACCAGACCAAAACGCGATGATCTCTGCGTCGTGGATGTTCGGGCCCTGCGTAAGTACTCCGCTGGCTCCTGTGAGAGATGCATCCGTAACGAGGTTAACAGGGTTCGTTCCCGCTATTGCGGGTCCTAGGTCTATCGCCTTACGCCGGGTGTTCCGGTGAGCTTCTACGCACGTCTTCACCAGGTCAAACGCCCTTTGGTCGGTTGGGTCCCAAGTCCACTTCGTCGTTCGAGCCGCGATTTTGGAGAGGTGCTGCATATCGACGCGTACGCCCTCGCACCCTGCTGCTAGGTACCCAACGGATCCTATGAATTGCATCAGCAATTCTTTCGAGGTAGGCGTTTTCCAGCTACTGATTTTATCAATCTTATGCGGGTCTAGGCGTATTCCACCATCATCTATTACATGCCCCAAGATGGAGAGCTCGGCCATAAAAAATTGGAGCTTGTGCTCGCTAAGATAGAATTGGTTGGTGCGCAGCGTATCGATTACGGTCTTTACGTGTCTAACATGCTCATTAGCGGTGTTGGAGTAAATCACGATGTCGTCTAGATAGACGTCCATGAATATGCCCAGGTATGGGCCAAAGATATGGTTCATTATGGACTGGTACGTGGCTCCCGCGTTGCAATCTCCAATTTGCATGACATGACTTATCATGGTGCCATCAGGGGTCGCAAATAGGGTCTTGGGGACATCCTCAGGGACCACCCGTATCTGTTCGTATGCATCCTTACCGTCAAGGAGTGAGCGGAACGGATGGGACGATACATTGCGCAGGATTGTCTCAATGTCCGGTAATGGCGAGGCAAGTTTCCTCGTGTTTTTGTTCCTTTGACGCGTGTCTAACACGGTTCGCAATCGTAGGGTGCCGTCTTTCGATGCTTTAGTCATCATTATCATCGGGATCCGCGTTGGACCCACTGAAGAATTCCCAGCGTCCAGTGCGGATATAGTCCTCTCGTTTCGCGCGCCACAATGGGCGAAGTGCCTCAGGACAGCGCGATTGCCTCCACGCGTAAACTTGCGTGTCGTTTAGTAGGGGAATGACATGATTAATTACGCGTAACAGAGGTAGGTCTGTTTCTACTGCTTCCTTGCAGATGTCCTTAGAGTACTTACGAAGCTCTGCCTTGTAGGCTTCAATCTGATCTGACTCAAGACTGGATCCTCTCAATTCTAATACCTGCGTCTGTGCTCCCCTGATCGGTAGGGCTTCGACACTCCGAATTTTGATCTCAGAAGGGTTGAATCCGAGTAGGACTTGGTGTTGGAAGAGGAACGGCATGCCGAGTATGATATCATAAGCCTCCAAGTTGGCTATGTCAAAGGTACGCTCACACTTGATGTCCTGATAGCTTAGCTCAACTTTTACATTAGCTTTAACTACGCTTCGTGAGCCCGATACGGCGAGCTGTAGTGGAATCGGCTTCTCCAGCAACTCGTACCTGCAATTTCAATTGGTCGACAACGGTACTTGAGATGAAGTCCGTGAGTGACCCTGAGTCAAGAAGCGCGCGGCAGGGTTTATCGTTCACGAGGACTATTATGACAATCGAGCGAGGCAAGATGCGCGTGGATGTACGAGGGCGAGCAGCTTGGCGTTCGAGTGTGTGGATGTCAGGTAAGTCCCTCTTGCTAGAGTTTCCTCCACAGTATAGCTCATTGATTGTCTCAATCACGCCTATAGGGTCGTGTGGCCCCGTTACCCTGTCTTCATTGCAAGGTGATGATATGACTTCCCAGGGGTCAGGGGCTGAGGGAGATGTGATGGCAGGGTTATCCACGTGAACCCAATCTTCCTCAAGCTCGCTTTCTCGCGCGCACCCGATGCTGTCCTCACGCTTAACTTGTTGCATATGGGTTACACCGTTCCAGGAGGGGACTAGTGAGGCCTTCGTGCGTATGAGGTCTTTGTAGTTGTGCAGTTTCATGTCAATGAGCCACGCGACAACGTCGAACTTAGGATCAGTCATCTGGTGCGTGTACAATATATAATCATCGTAGTTGTGCTTATCAGACAGCAGATAAGTGTCTGGACCACCATGAGTGGACAAGCTAAACCGGTTTGGTCCAAATGGGTCATACAGAGGGTCTGTTAGTTCATCCGTGGGGAAGGGCACTGCTCGCCTTAGTGTCGCGATGGTGAGTCTCACCAGTTCTAATCTCGCTGGGGCGTCATGCTCCCTAAACTTATTACTCCCAACAGCCATCCCATATAGTCCATGTGCGACGCCCTCTTCAATGGCGGCGCTTACGATGTCGGCATTGGAAACTCCTACTGCGTGTGCGCTGAGGGAGGTAACCTTACCATTTGGCTTGAATGGTAGCCGGTTTCGTCGAGGGCAGTCTTTTGCCAGGTGGCCAGTTTGTTCGCACTCGAAGCACTGGTTGTTTTCGCGAAGTCGTCTGATCTGGTCGGAACTCTTCTTCGGGTGGTCCTTGGGATAGGTTGTTCTCTCCCGATTGGGACGATCACGGTTGTGGGGCACCGTCCGTGAAGCATTTGGCCTGTCTTGTCCCCTGCGGTGAGGATGGTGTGACACCGCGTTAGCTGATAGGGACGGTGTACGAGGCCTAGTGTCGTGACGACGACGAGGGGGATCATTGTGGTTTCGCCTGTCAGGATTGGCTCGTTGAGATGCGTAGCTTGCAGCTAGGGTCGGGTTTAGGGCTAGTAGGATGTTTGGGTCCCTCGCGTTCTCAGTGAACGCCCTCTCGGTGCGAAGTGCTTTCTTTTCGACGGTGGTCATACTGACTGTATTAGGCTCGTAGCCTTTGTCGACCAGGGAGGCCTTAATATACGGGAGGCAGTTCATCCAGAACTGCCTTACCATCTCGCGATCATCGATATCTCCTGCCATGTCGGCAAGATTGTGGAGTCTACGAAGGTAGTCTCTTACCGTTTGCTTGCCTTCCTGCTTACAGTCCAGGAACTTCTGCCTCTGGATCATCCTGAAGTCCGGAGGGAACACATAGTCAAATAGGTGTTCAAAGAACTCCGTAAGTGAGTATTGTTTACCTAGGTCTAGGATATCTCTCTCATAGAAGCGGTACGCTACTCCACTTAGGTATTTCCCAATCATCTTAAGACTTTGATTCGAGGTGAGTCGCGCTCGTTCTTTCCAGTCGCGTACCTCTCTAACCCACTTTTTGAAAGTGGTGGCATTAGCTTCACCATTGTATGCAAATGGTGGTTCATTCTTTATAAAACTCTGCTGATATTTCATTAGGTTTAACTTAGCGCGGTACTCGCGACGAGCGCGTCGTTTTCCCTCGTTTGGTCTCATCAGTATCACTGTCGTGGTCCGATTCAGGCTCTAGTGCCAATGAAATCAATCCCAAAGTCATTGGTAGGTGCTACCGAAGTTTTGGTTTCCCAGCTGACATGGTTTCTTTTCTGGGCAGGGTTCCTTCTTTCACCTTTCAAACTCCCCCAGCGCTCTGGGGTCTCTCGTTCACTCGAGTCCGACTCGGTGGAGGACTGCCCATCATCACTTGACGAGTCAGATGAGGATTCACTTGGGTCCGAGCCACTTCTAGTGGTTCCCAGCATTGCTTTCTTTACCGAGCTGGAAGAAGGCAATACCGACGACGCTCGTTGGTATCGAGTGTCTGGCATTTCTCGATGTCCCTTTTGGGAGTTAAGAGATGTTGAAGGTAAGGATTCCTTGGGCTTCGTTACCGTACTGACGTTTATGCTCCTCGCAGGGGGATAAATGCCTACTGGTGCCTGCCTGCTTACAACGGGAGCTCGGCGTGCTTCGTCTACTAGCTTACGGGTCTCTGCTTCGCGGGTCTGGCTCTGGATTATTAATGTTTCAAGCTCCCTCACTCGCTCTTGAAGGGTATCAATGAGGTGCGTATTCTCATCAAGCTCAATCTTCGCGTCCTTACGCGAGCGTCTTAGGAACAGGTTTTGCATTTGAAGTGAGAGGCGACGGTTGTCATCGTCCCAAATTCTGGCTAATGATTCGTCAGAGTCATCAGGTCCGGGTTTACTAACTACGGCTATCTCCTCGTCCTGTCGCGTCCAGGTTCCTAGCCATCCCTCTGGAGAACGGATCGTTTCTTTAGTACCGCGCTCAGAGGGGTCAATCATTTTGCCCTTGTCATCGAAGGGGATTCTCGGAGTGGAGTGGGCCGATGGGTCTGCGACGTTAGGTCGTAGCACAGGAAATTCAGGTACGTCTCCTAACTCATTATCGTTGTCAGGCGAGTCAGCCCAACTGAAGTTTGCATAGGGACTATTAACCCTTTTATCAGGCTCAATTCCATGGTTGTCAAGGTTTTTATTTTCTATCAGGTCTTCGCTGGACCCTGCTGACCTGTGGGCCGCAAACTCGAGTCGTGAGTGGACTAGTCCAGCCATACTTCCCAGTAATGGGCTTATACTCATGTTGGCCGAACCCTCGCTACCGATTCCATAGGTAGCGACGGGCGGTGGCTCATTGCTAGGTTCGTTGGTCGGTCGCTCATTGATATGAGCGATCGGTCCTCCCAGGGCACTTATTAACGAGCTCGCGGATAGCTGGTCACTGGTTGGGGGTTCTGCCCCTAGGCTATCGGACCGTTCAACTCCAGTGACGAACGTGTCGTCACGAGTCCACGCACTCTCGACACCCAGTTCGAGAGCGCCTCCGTCAGTACTCAATCCACCTGGGGGGCTGGAGAGTTGGGGGACGGGGCACCCAGTGCACGTGCTGCAGTTTTCTTAGGCATGAATGAAGGTAGAAGAAGTAAGGATTATGAGGAACAAGGGTCGTCGGGTTCAAGGGTGATCAGTCCTTGTCAACGGCGACCGTAGGGGATTTTTGGAGGTAAGTCTTTAGTATTCGAGTTCAAAAATATGTGGCGTTCGGTGAACGTTCACACGAGATAGCTGACTTCGTCGAAGCTTAGATATCGAGCAGAGGGAACTGGCCGAACTAAGACTTGTTATTTCGGGGGAGAAGGATCAACTGCCTAGCTACACTACATATACTTGGTTTATATAGGGTAGGAGGCATCGGGAAATATAGGGTTAGAGAAAATAAAGAAGGGGGAAAACGGGTACATCAATATATCAATGCTAATCGATACAATAATTGGTGACTTAGGCGTTGTGCGCCTAAGTCTTTTTATCGAACGTCACACAGTCTCACCACCACAATGTTCACCAGGCTAACTGTGAACATTATGTCTGAAAAGTTTCACCACAGTCATGGGGATGAAATATTTGCTGTTGAATATGCACTTATCTGCTAAGCCAGAACTATCCAGATGTTTGGCTGAATGATTGCTGTCCATGCTGTAAAGTCTTCAGGGATTAAGTGGCGGCTTGTTAAGTCGCTGAAACACAATATATTTATATTAAATCAGTCATGTTTTAAAATCTCAATACTCACCTGAAAGGCTCAACATGGACAAGCACCTGACATATGCCAGTCAGTGTGATTTCTGTCAAGTGCATGGTCAACCTGTAGTCGAACAAGTCATTGAATGTTGAGGTAGATATCAAACACAATGGAAAATTGATTGTGTAGGTACTGGGAATATGTCACCTACACATTGGTTCAGTGACACATTATTTGATGCATCAAGACTTACATTATGATTATGAAGGGCACAGAGAACTTTCGTAAATAATTGTATGCTAAATGACAAATGACAATGTCAAACCTCATGATAAGGTTCTTATTCTGTTGTTTTGTGGATGATACATGAACACTGAAGTGTGTGTGTATGAGAGGAGTGTTAGGGAGAGCGAAAGTAAAAACTGAAAAATTAGGATAGACCTGCTATCTGATAGTTTGTGATTGAATCATGAATTCCTCTATTGAATTTTGAAACTCCTAATGTGTCTTTTCTCTCTCTTTTGGCTGATCTCCCATAGGAGCCATTTAAGGCTTCGTGTTTTTGACATTGACGGAAAAGATGGTGTCTTTAGTGTAACTTTCCATCATTGTTAATCTAGTTTGATGGATTACTTTCTAATCTATCAGATTGATGGGGGATTCACTGAATGTAGAGCACAGTTTGCTAGTACTATTCACATACTTAATGAGGAGTATGATCACTTTTGCATTAGTGAGCAGAAATAGTATCAATGAAGCTTGACGGCAGAGGGTTAAGGTAAAAGTGTGACATTCACGGGTGTAGTGTGGGCAAATTAACAGAGTAGTGCAAATAACTTTGGAGCCACAAAATGCTGGACAGCAGACATAAGGCAATTAATGGAATGTAGTCCTGCCAGTGCCTAGTGTCTCGGCTGACATGGAATCTCACAGGTGGTTGCAGGGTCATGTCGGAAATATGCGCATCAGTGATGCTGCCAAAGATACATGGCACTTCATTCAAACCTTTGGAGCTGCATTTTCCTACAGCACTCCGCACTTATACTTGTCCGCTTTGCCATTGGCACCGAAACAGGGTGTGGCTGTTGGACTTTCTAAACACCAAAATGACAAGCTGGTGTAGATGAGCAGTTGGTCTCGTTGGTCTCGCTACAGCTAGTGTAATGTTTGACCTGTTCAACACCAAGAGACTGGATGTGATCACACACCTTAATAATAGCTTTTTGGCCTTGCTTTGCGATTATGCAGCAGAATCTTGCAGCCATTAAGGGAGGATGTAGAGGTCGAGGTCAATTTAAAGGTTTCCTGCGTTTGATCTTGGGGAGGAGTTATGCACTTTCTCTTGACTGGGATGTCCTTTGCACATCTTAAATTTCTCCCATATGGGAGGCCCTTGCACTGTCTCTGGACCTCCCTTGCAATGTGGGCAATCAGTTGTGTGACTTTTTCCTATACAGTGCAGATGGCGATTGAGGGAATTATGGTTGGTACGAAGCCAGAATATAATGCTAATGTGTCGCTTCAGTAGGTAACATATGTATGAAGTGTGTATGTAGTGGAGGGATTGAATCCAAGAGTGTGCCCATCTGAACCATCACAATATATCTTAATTGAGTCTTGAATTGCATTGTGATTAATTATGGCCTGTTCACATGTGGTAGTGATTGAGATAGTGTAGGGTGTATTGGCACTAGATGGACAGTGATCATACTTTATTGTCTACCAGCAGATTCTGATAAAATTTCGCGGCCTCTTGGTATACTATTAGTTTGTAGTGAAATATTACATTGTTCACTACTTTTGTGTGTATTATACAGTGGCTCAAAAAGTGTCCCAATGTTTGTCCACTTTCATGTATTTGCATTATAGCGAGTCAGGTTGTGGGAATATAATGGAGTACTAGAGAGATGTTTGGTAGGACTGCCCTCTGGCTTGAATCTGAGCTATGTAGTGTAGATCTTCCACAGGGGTTATCTCAGCTTTGGGAGAGAGTTGCAGCAGAGTGGGGGAAGATTGCTGAGGAGGAATGTCAGAAACTGATAGAAAGTATACCTAGGAGAGTAGCAGCAGTGATCAAGGCCAGGGGAGGCAACACCAAGTACTAGAATTGTAGAGGTTGAGTTACTTCAACATAGACTTAAAAAGTGTTTTAATGAGTTATAATATTATAATTATCATATCCCCACCATATCACCATCTTTTCCCACGCTACATAGCTCAGATTCAAGCCAGAGGGCAATTCTACCAAACATCCAGACTCCAAACCATCGGCGGGTGTGAGAGAGTCTTCATACTGTTACCTTAGCCACAAACCAAATACGTACAACATTATTTCAAACACCGCAACTTGAGACTCTACACACCCAGCCGACTGGCAAAACTTGTAGTGGCGCGAGGTTTGGAAGTATTTGTCCCACCGAAAAAGCCTTCCGAGCGCGCTGACATATCCCAAAAGAAATGGGAGCAATCGAATATTAACTGATGTCACATTGTTTATAAAAAGACAAATAGTATTGTTTAATTATGTGATGGAAATAATAATAATTAAATATTAACAATGCAGAGAACAATGGCAGAAAATGCATAAAACAAAAGACAGAGTCCTAGCTTTCTTGCCGTTGCGCTCGTGATGGATACAAGTCTCGCAGACCGACTGGACAATGTGCTTGCATGTATGGAAGAAAATTTTCTCACTCCAGCAGACTTCGTCGACCACATTCTCGGAAGCACAGAACACGAGAGTGCAAGAAACTCGCTAACAACAAAGGCAGTTAGAATATGTGCTGCCCTGTACAGAGAAGAACATGCGCACTCACATGTAACACAGTGGGCAATAACAATCGTGCAGGACATGCTGCGCACCGAGGTGACAGATTTGTCACTCGAAAAGCACGGACTTCGTTTCAAAGCCACGTCTGCAACTGTTGAACAACTGGAGAGCGCATTCATGCATCAGCTCACAGAAAAAATGCAGGAGGTGGCACCTAACCTGTGGCATCTATTCTTCGCGCTGCTCGACAGCACACTTCAGCAGCGGCAAGCTATGGGTGGGAATGTGAAGGTGGGCAATGAGGACATGGATATTTATGTTGAAGAGAGGGACCTTGGAGAATTTGGAGGTGACAACATTGGAGGAATGATGCATGAAGAAGACGACGTGAATGAAGAAGCTGACAACGAGCAATCAGGAAAACACCAACGTCGTGCAGCTGAAAGAAACGCTGCACTGTTAGTCATTGTGAGTTGATATTTGCGAATCAAACGCTGCGTCGCTGACAGAAACTGCAGAGAACTGTTGTAATGATTAGCATATGCCTTCAGACATCTAATTCACGGTGCAACCTACTACAAGGATGGCTGGGGTTCTTCATGAGGTCAGCGTGTGTCCCCGAGAAAGTTGTCAAAGTGTTCGCCCATGTGGGTTTGTCAATTAGCTTGATGTCGATACACAATGCTGTCTCATCAATATCTAGAGAGATTAGCAGCAAAATCAAGCACGAGGTTAGGACATTACAAGCTGGATTCGCATACGACAATTTCGACATACAATTCAAAGCTGCCCAGCCTACACTGGAACATTGAAGGTCCTTCGTGAGCGCAATGTCAGCAACCGTCATTCCTCTATATGGCATCAACGACGATAACTTCGATGCTCTACGATCCTTGGCGCAGCTCTGGGATCGGGATTCACACAATCCATCGTTGTCGGTACTACCTGTGATGACGGAGTGGAGAAGCTTCCTTCAATTGCACAAAGACGATGCTTACAGTCGTCAAACACATCCCAATAGACTGAGCCCTCGCCAGGAAGTGTTTTCTTGGCACGTTCATGCCATTCTGGTCAACCAGGTCGAAGGATTCAAGCATTTCAAAAAAGAGCTAGACGAGCCTGATACAGTCAAAAGAATCCCTCTGCACAAAACAAATCAAATACCTTGTCGGGCAATGGATATCAAGCAGTCCACAACAGATGGGAATGTTGAAGTTCTCGACAACCTGTTTAGACAAGGAGGTATTGGCGATCCTCACGATAGCGGGTTTGATGCGGAGCATGACGTGGACATGTCGGAGCACATCATGCTGATCCATGGTGACCTTTGACGAAGGAGCAACTGGATACTGTCCGTAACAGCCGGTGCATTGAGCATACACCAAAGAACCGCTTCCAATACGTGATTTTCTTACCTGGGTTGTTCCACTATAAGATGGCTTGTGCAGATGCCATCTGGAGAACATATATTCAGCCAAAGGAGGGCCGGGATGATGAGAACAGCCTGTACCAACACATTACAGTCCTTCGGCCAGAGGAAACTGGTAAAATGGTCAGTAAACCTGGCTTTCGGCGAGTGCACAATGTCATTCACCATGACATCTGGGCATTGATGATGGACTGTTGGCGGATCGAAGCAGAGAACGAGAATCGGGAATGGAACACGCTGGAGACTTTCGCGGCCTCTGAGCCAACATGGGATGACGTGGTGGCAATGTCACGTACCATTGTGCGGAAGTACGTTGCGACAACGCCAGGCCTTGACAAAGCACGAGCACGACCATTGACCATCCGCGACAAGCAATTCGAAAATCAAACGCTGCGAAACAGGGACGAGCTGATGTACATTGACGTCTGTCAAGCTATGAATACTGGTGACATAGGGAGAGTGGAAGCGTCGTTCTTACCGTGGATTTACGTGTTCAAAGCCACGGGAGAGCACAAGTATGCTTCCCAGATGACGAGGTTTCTCGTAAACCTTCAGTTTAACTGGCCTGAAAAACTGAGGTGAGTAGGAGTTGCTCATATTGACTGCGCATCATCTGAAAATATGTCAGTGATATCATTCGAATGAACTTACTTTGCAACCCCTCCGGGCATGCGCTAGCGTTTCGTGCTGTAGATTGGGTTGTCGAGAGGAACAATCTGTACACCAAGGTTAGTTCCTAGCTGCTTAGGGTTGGAATGTTAATATGGCATCAGGTCATATACAGAGGTGGAGGTCCGAATGGTACAATTGAACACATTATTAAAGAATCCCCTCTGATCGAGGTCTACCGTAACTGTCATGTCGTCATCGAAAACGGATTCCACCTTCAGCATCAAACAATTCGTCATGCACAACCTGAAATGATGAATACAATCCGTAAGTTGTCAACGAGAATAAAGGAGAACTACGCACATATAAAGAAGGAGGGTCAGAAGGCCCTGTGGTCGATTCCTGATCAGATCAACGAAGGGATGGTGCTGATGCAAGAGCAGAAAATTGTTAGCGAGGAAGAGACAGCCGTTTTCAACGTCGACAGAGATGACTTTATTGACTAACCTTAACCGACTCAATTGTTCTGCGGACCAACAAACTGTTGTTGTCCTTGCACTGGATGGAAACCTTGCTCAGAAGCGCCTGGAGCAGGTGCCACCATGGCCAGTGCATTTTCTATATTAGATCTTGACTTGCGGGGCTTGGAAATATATCTTGGACAAAGTTTGTTGGACGCTGTGAAGAACAATGAGTACGATAAGACAGTGGACATAGCGAGCAGTGCGTACCTATATGATCAGTGCTACCACAAGCACGACACTTTCGTGAATGTTTCAATGGCAACATGACGCCATTTGTGGCGGAGGTGCTGGCGCTCGGTTGTTGGTTTGTTGACGACGATACGCCAAGTGGAGGTGGAATGATCACAGCAGGTGGTGCGGGAGGTTGGACAATGGGCAAAGGGATGCAAGTAAGAATAATATCGAGGACGCTTTGCCCATATTCAGAGGAGTAGCACCATGATGTCTGCTCGAAGAGAGAAGTTGTTGATAAGATTTTGTGATAGTGCGCGAGGTCGACAATACGGTTCAGGATCTTGTTCGACATGATCATCTGGGGACCAAAAAAGTCATCAGCATCGAGATCCTCCTCGATTATCTTCGAGTCCCTCCATTTGATGAGCTCCTGCTGAAGCCGGCGTTCGGCGTCGGTCATTTCGTATGGCTTGATCTTGTACTTTGGTTTGGTGCGTGTTGACGTGATTTGTTGCAGAGGGAAGAGCCGTGAATGTAATTCCATCTTGTTACACACGTCACAGCAAATGTGTGACACCCTTGCAGCGCATCTCTCACAGCATGTATTCCCTTGTTCTCGATAACCTCAATGTCAGCTAAATCAACTCCATCCAGCCTTAAAATTCTTACCTATTAGGTTTGGATTATTGAAACATTCATTTGTAACTCGGCGACGGCAGAATCCTCAAAGGTGAGCATTGATAAATGCATACATAGCAGCTCATTCAATAACATCACTATCAGTGTTTACCGGAAGGATCCTCATAGGAGTAGAAGTGCCAGCAACCTCTGGAATGGTGTGTCTGTTGCGCTGATCCACCACCATGCTGACGCTGTCCGTTTGCCCGCCATTGTCCCCCCATTGAGGGTACCACCATCAGTCCTACATTGACTGTTCTCCTCGTCGCGCACCGCTGTGCTCTCAGCGTCCACGTTCGTGACCTTCTTCTTCTTCGCGTGATGCTGTCCCTCATCAAGTTCAGGCCGTTTGCACTTGCCACTGTACGTATCAAAGTACAGCGGCTCCACGAAGTACACTGCAAGTGCCGTTAAGGCGTGGTCTCGCGCAGTGCGTCCTAGGCATTGCATCAAAATGCAAAGTGAGTTTATATATCCCCATTGAATGACCAATCTGACGTCTCGAAGATCAAGACCCTGCAATAACAGCAATAACAACATCAATATATATGTGAGGGACTCTCAATATGACTGTGAGTTACTCACCATTCCCGCTGCATCAGTACAGCAGATCCCCCAAATCTCACCCTTTGACAGCTTTTCCATTGCGTCCAGCCGGAACTGCATTGACATGCCCGAATGGAACCATACAATGTTATGGCAAAGATGCGCAGGCAAGTCTTTGCATAAGCTATTGCAAACTGCTTCTGCTTGATCTCGAGCATTTATGAACAGCATGAACTTCTCGGGCGGTGTGCCCTCCTTGAGTGGCAAGATTCAGGCAAGGTCGTAGTACGTGTTTTGTGGGTACTTCATCTCCTGGACCATGAGATGAATATTTGGACGGTCATTTGACCGGACAACTTTAGCAAGGTTGTATGACCGAATGTGAAGTTTCAATTGGACATCTAGGAGGATGTGCGGCGGCATGGTCGCAGACACGGCGTGAAATTGAATGTGAGCTGGAAGGTACCATCGAAGATTCCCCAGCTCACTATACAGCAGTCGAAAGTCTTTGCCCCATTCACTAATACAATGACCCTCGTCAAACGTGATATTGAAGAGATTATCTGTAAATGTTTGACACTTCCAAAGTTTTTTGAATCGAGCGTCTTGAAGTACACGTTCCGGGCTAACAGCAAGAACTCAATACTTCAATTTCTCTATGTCCTGATGAATATATGCTCAGACTCGTGTAGTATTAATGTCACTGAATAACGACTCACTTTAAACACCTCGTCTGTTGCTGTCTCTGCACATATATCAAGGGCGGGAAACCCATAAGCATTTGCTTCATCTCGGTTCTTCTCGCTGAGGATATTAAGCGGGGTAATAATAATGGTTATTCCACCATTGTTGAATAACAGGGGAATCCAGAAGGTAAGAGTCTTTCCTGAGCCGGTGGGTGAAATGGTGAAGACATCTTTGTTCTCAAGCTGGTTGTGAGCGGACTGGAGTTGCCAAGTACAAGGAGTAAGACCCAGTTTCATTTCTGCAATGCTTTTCATTTCTGCAAAGCTCAGTACTTCGAACTGGCCACCTGGCGATGACATCAAGATACGTGACTTAGAAGATGTTAAGTCTCAGAAAGGGATTATCCATCATGTCACTCAAGGCACGTCACGCTAAAGATTTTTGACAATAATATTTGATTGCTCCCATTTCTTTTGGGATATGTCAGCGCGCTCGGAAGGCTTTTTCGGTGGGACAAATACTTCCAAACCTCGCGCCACTACAAGTTTTGCCAGTCGGCTGGGTGTGTAGAGTCTCAAGTTGCGGTGTTTGAAATAATGTTGTACGTATTTGGTTTGTGGCTAAGGTAACAGTATGAAGACTCTCTCACACCCGCCAATGGTTTGGAGTCTGCCAAACATCATCATATTCCCACACCCTGACTCGCTATAATGCAAATACATGAAAGTAGACAAAAACATGCACATACTAGTATAGTACACCATAACAAACAGCACAACCAGAACCCTTTGTCCATGTCCCTGTGCTCTGCAACCGCTCTGCATTGACCTTGTACTCATCTTGCTGTGCAGTCGCAAGTGCTGCCCAATACACATAGAATTCTTTGGTTGTTCCACTTGTATCATTGACCTGATTCAGCCAATGCCATGCACATAAGTTTCTGCACGACAAAAATTAGTGCAAAACATTAAGAGACAGGCATACTGATACTTACCAAGCATTCTTTGCGGCACCCGGTTGCATTTTCTTCTTTCCCTGCAATTTCACAGCTGCCTTGTTGGATATATTGGGTCCATCATTGTTTGTCTGCTTGATGGGGCTAAGCGCTGGGAAGGAATTGTCTTGGTGATTCCATTAAGTCTGAAAATATTAATGCTTCATAGCAGTGTAGTTAGCAAGGATGAGGATCCAGTATGAGCTACTTACAGTGGATTCTACAAAATAATTGCATTCTCTTTGTTAGCATGTTGTATGTCGTGAGATGTTCCTAGTGTGTGAGAAGTTGGCAAGGTCTTATTTTCAGACGTATACACAGTTTGGCGCAAAGGTGATTGGGGAAGAGATGAGGCTTGTGGAGTGGGCTGTGGTAATTAGACTATTATTGGTGGTAGTGCCAGGCCTGGAGTCTTGATCTGGATACAGGGGCATACTGGTTGAGAGCAAGGTTGCAATATATGTAGTGTCAGGGTCAAATAGCAGTATTGATGTTAACAAGATAACAAAAGAAAGAACACCACATGCCTTTCAGTTCAATATGAAGCAGCAGAGATGGCACTGAGTCAACTAATTGTGTTAATGTGAGTCAATAAGAATTACGAGAGAGAGAAAACACATACATTTATGCTCTCAACGGACAGCAAAATTTGAACAGAATTTCATTTTTCATTTTTCATTTTTCAGATCATGTGATGCAGCCACATGACCAGTGTGACTTCCTAGTATCACAGAAAGTAACATAGATTTTGCAGACAAAAAAAAAACTCCTCCCCCCCTGACCCCCCACATGTATGATAAATTACAATATGATTCCTGTACATATGTACAAACCTTTTGTTGATCAACAAGAACAATTGTTGCTGCAGCACACTGTCCGACAGTGGGAAGAAATCCGACAGCATCATTTCGTTGTACTGATCGCTTGCCTTATCGCTCAGATATCAGCACTATACCACAACCTTATTCTAACTGCGCGCCAGAACATCTCGTACCATACATCTGCCTTGACAGGTCAAGCATGGGTTCTTGAGCTCACGACAGGCCACCCAGACTGGATTCAGCACAACCTGGGTGTCAACTTAGAGATGTTCAAAGAGCTGCTTGAAGTTCTTCATAGACACAGATTTCAACAATCTTGCAATGGTGTCTCCCTTGAGGAACAATTAGCAATATTTTTATACGCCTGTGTCACTGGTCTCCCAACTTGTCATGTTGATGAGCGCTTCCAGCGGTCTCCTGACACCATCACAAGGTAACCAAATCCTATCGCATTACAACATACTAATGTCAATTGTTTGATTAGATATTTCAAGCTCATGCTTTCCTTCTTCTTAGACAGCCCCTTCTACACCTCGCAAGTCAAATTTCCAACAGCGCATTCAGGGAGTGTCCAAAGCTTAAACTCGAGGTGTCAGAGAGAGGCATAAATGTGAGGGTACTCTGGGTGATGAATGATCTTGTATAGTATTGATGTGGATGGCTCAGCCTCATCTTAGCCAGTGTATATTTTATTATTGATTAATGCACTCGGGCCTGGTGTGACACGGACGAACTAGGAAGTCACATGCTGTGCATCACATAATCTGAAATTTGAAATTCTGTTTGAATTTCGCTGTCTGTTCAAAGCCTTAGGTTTCTTCAAATGGTCTTGGTGGACCACACTTTTGCTATTGTCATACAGGTGTTGCTTGCTGTTTCCTTTAGCCTGGGGTCCATTGTGCTCTACATCAAGTTCATCTGAGTCGTTGATATGCTCTTCCTTGACTGAGAGCTTGCTTGGTAGGTCCTTCCAGTTTCTGTTGTTCCCAATGTTGTTCTTACGCCAGGATGGGTAATTGGTAATACAAAGCAGCTTGACTTTCCAGCCACAGTGGTCAAACAGGAATAGTGGGAATTGTTTCACCATGATGTTGAATACGAGCTTCTTTCCGGTAGCGCAGATAGTGGGTGGAGCTAATTTCTGAACAACTAATTCAGCCCAGGCTGCATGCAGAACCTTACAAATTTATTTGAGTTGCTCGACCATGACAGGTCTACCATCCTCAAGCTCCAGCCATGGGGCTTTACCCCAAGTTCAAGTTCTAGACTCAGTGATCTTGACATATTTGTCACAATCCGCTCAGTCTTGCAATGGACAAACTTTGTTGTGTTCCATCAACAACTTGTTTGTGAGACTGAAGTTCAGCAGGTCAGCGCAATCCTGGAGTTGCAGCACACTGATCAGTTCAGTAAAAGACGCCCTAAAACAAACAAGACATGGTAGCTTTGGTCTAAGTATTATTATGATAGGAGAGAATGACTGACTTGATGGTGTCACGTTCGGCATTGGTCTTGCTTAACTTGAGTTGAGTCTCTGTGAATTGTTCTTGTAGGGCATGTGCCTGCTGTGCTGCAATGAAATTTAGTATGGGCTGGTGCATATGTGTGCCCCAGATCACAATGTGGGAGCCGACAGTATGAAAATTTTAAGCAACTCATACAAGAGAAGGCTCAATCCACAATCGTCCTTCACTACCCTAAGTCACCCTCCTCCAAATGGGATCTACTAAAAATATGTCATGTGTGGTGAAAACTGAAAGTGGTATGACTGTGCGGGTGTCGATGATAGCTTTACAGTTACATGCCAGTGGAAGCAGGAGCTGCAAGCATCCTTAGATCATGATGAATAAGAAGCACTTTATCACTACAACACCAAGGGACACTGTCATATACCATACACTGAGCCCCTGAACCATATCCAATCTCTCCCGACAATCAATGTCCAGACCTCCAAAACATAGCCAAGCTATACCTTCGCCCTATCCCTACCCCTCGGCAGGATAACCCCGCATCCCAGTTTCTACTGGACATACCCCTCAGCAGAATCTGCCCTGCTACCCCTAACCTGTCGATACAAAGTCCAGATCCCTGGAGCTAGTCTGCCCTGCTATGACCTCTGCTCCTCTGCTCATCTGCTCCTCCTGCATACCTCGAGTCCCTATTCATCAGATCTCCTATACATCAGGTCCCCTATGTATGCATCCTGTGCCCGAGGCACGAGAGCATGGGATGCTGGTTTTCAGGCTGATCTGTCGTGGCACAAACATTCCACTTAGTCGTTCCTCTGTTGATTTGCGCCTCGAGGATCGTGTGTGTAGCTGCAGCTTGTCGTAGTCTGTAGCTTTTGCACTGTATCTTTTGTTGCTGTTGCAGGCTCTCCTTGTCTCTGTCATGTCCCTCGCCTTGTTCCTCTGCCCTCCATGGTCCACACACGCCGGTTTCCGGCTCCTGAGACTCCCGAACCTCCACCCTTTGCATCCTCTGACGAGGAGCACTCTCCAGGCGCTGGTTCCTCCCCTGCCACGGGTCCCGCTCTCACTGAAATGGAGACCCCAGCATGTGTCCAGGCAACAACTCCTTCCATTCCGGTTCACGGGGGGGTGGTTCCTCCACTTCCTTTTGTAACGACTCAGTCTCTTCCGCTCGCAGCGACTTCGTCACCCCTTCAGCCCCCAAGGGCAATGCCCCCAACTCGTCTCACCCCTCCTCACAGAACTTCCCCGTGCACAAGTGCATCTTTTGCAGCAAGGGAGAATGTCGCGGTCGCGCCTGTGGCACCACCAAAACCTCCTTTGTCTCCTTCGACCCCACCACCAACCTCTTCACGTCATCTGCGGGTGAGCAGGTTTGTGGGAGGGGAGAACGATAGGACCCAGGCGAGTGAAGGGAGAGAGCGCAGAAAGCTTACTGTGGGATAGCGGAAAAAGATATAATCATCTACCCATTTCAGCAGATCCTGCACACCGTTAAACTTGAAAATCACAACGATAGCGTCGCCTGGGCGGCCAAAGATACCATTCGAGCTAGCGCCGCCAAAGGAAGCGGCGTGATCGATCCAAACTTGGACGACACCGTTGATTGAGAACATAACACCCTTCACTTTTGTGACATAGAGAACATTCCTCAGTCTTCACGCTGCCCTGCATCTGAAAATCTACTGTGTGCCTGCTCATCTGCTCCTCCTGCATACCCTGAGTCCCTATTTGTCAGATCTCCTATACATCAGATCCCCTATATGTTGGATCCCCTATTCATCGGATCCCACTCATACATCGGATCCACTCGGGTCTACTGAACCCCTAAACATTGGACCCTAAAATGTCAGACCCGCTCGGATCCACTTGACCCCTAAGCATTGGACCCTAAACATTGGACCCACTCAGATCCACTCAGATCCACTTAACCCCTAAACATTGGACCCACTCGGATCCTGAGCCTCGGACCCACTTAACCCCTAAAAATGTCGGATCCACTTCACAGTTCATCTCCATCTCCATTTCTTGTGATCTGCTTGACAGTTCATTTCCAGTCCTGCTTCTATCTGGTTACCCCATTTGTATAGTCCCCTTGTCCTAACCCCTATTTGCCTGGATCTGCTTGACAGTTAATATTCAACTTCATTCTCGATCATATCTCCTATGCCTGGATCCATTCAATACTTCATCTCTGTCTCCATTCTCGAAGATCTCCGCTGACTGTGTCCCCATTGCACATGTCCATATATATAATACCTTGTAAACTTGTAGTAGTTTCCTCAGTTTGAATATCACCTGAGATTATCCTCATTGCTGTTTTTGGGGATCCGGACCTATTTCCATGGGCCCGGGTCCACTTCCCTGTCCAAACTCTGAGTCCTCGGATTGATTCTGTGTGCTATATCTCTGCCTCTACCTTAGGGTAGTCTACCTCCGTCAGTTTCTACTCTAGACATTGTCTAGTGTAGCCTTACCTCTAGCTTCGGCCTTCTCGCCTTTTGGTCTTCCTGTCTTTTTGTTAAGACCGTGTTCAACGGGTCGGACCGGAGGGGCTTAGCTTCAGCTCGTGCGCTGCGCTCTTTACCCGAGTACGTGCCCCTAATTTACAGGGGGTTGGATATCGTCGGCCGAAGGGTATAGACGGGCCGGACGAGAGAGGGAAGACTACCCAAGACTTCGTCCGGGTAGAAACTAACAAGGTACAGACTACCCGAAGGTAGAAGCGGAGGGATTTAGCCTTAGGGATATAATCCCGAGGCTCGGAGGGTCGGACTAGGAAGACAATCCTAAGAGCCGAGGGAACACGAGGAATGAACTGAGTCTAAGATGATATTTGAACTGAGGATATACTACGGGTTACAAGGGGTTTATATACTATAAGGTATCCGACGGACGTCCGGCCGAAGCGCAGTCTTCGGATCAGAGGGCTATGTAGAAAATGTACTAACGGATATGAACTGCTGCGGACGATCGAGAATGGAGCCGGAGATTAAATGAAACAGGGGGGACAAGTTAAATGAAAGGAAAATGAATAGACTAACGGACGGATCAGAATGAACCCGGATATTAACTGTCAGAAGGATCCGGGCGTATAGGGGCATCAAGAAGCATATACAAATGGGGACACGGGGAAATGAATTCTAGAATGGAACCGAGAGAACGGATGGACCGGACCGGACGAGAAGCTTCAGGTACGGAATATGACACTTTTGGTCTTTCCACCTGTCTGTTCTGTCTGCCGTTTCTGCCAGACTAAAGCCCCTATTTTCTGGTGGACCAATCCCCCTATTTTCCGGCTGACTAATTCTCTATTTTCCACCAGGAAAATCCCCTCCAGTCTGGTGGACGAATCCCCTGTTTTCCATTGACCTTTCCCTCTGTAGTTCTATCTAGTGTTGCCACAGCTCAGACAACAACTTTTGAAATAAATTGACATTGTGGGCTGAACAAAATTCCTTAAATCATGAGAATATTTATGTAGGTAGATTGGGCCAGGAACCGGGGGGTTACATATGGGCATTTTTCATAGAGATGCATATTCACATGTCTATGAAGCAACTCAGTAAAGAGTCTGGCTTTTGGAGTTATCACTGAGCTGCTTCATGGTGGGCCAACAATGTATCCTAGTGAAAAATGTCCTCTGGTAACCCCCTGGTTCCTGGCCCAATCTACCTACATAAATATTCTCATGATTTAAGGAATTTTATTCAGCCCACAATGTCAATTTATTTCAAAAGTTGTTGTCTGAGCTGTGGCAACACTAGTTCTATCAGACTAAACCCCTATTTTCCGCTGGACTAATCCTCAGTTTTCTGCCAGCTTTTCCCTCTGTAGTGCTGTCGGATCCAACCCCTATTTTCCCCCGGACTAATCCCCCATTTTCCGCCAGACCAACCCTCTGTTTCCCGCTAGACTTTCCCTTTGAAGCCCACCGGGATTTATCATATTCCACCGGGCCTTGTTTTTAGCCTTTGGAAATTAAGGGCACGTACTTGGGTAAGGGGCACAGTGCAAGAGCTGAAACCAAGCCCTTTGGATCCGCCCCTTGAGCACAGTCTAACAGACACTTATGCAAGAGAATATATCCATCTCCAAGATCTATAGCTGTTGTATGAAAGGGGGGCTTGTCAGGGGAAAGATCAGGCATCATCACCTGGGTAACACCTATTCTCATGCTTATTAGTAACAATTGTAGCATAGCATATATGTCACTAATGAGGGGGGAAAGCCTCTGTTGCAGTACTTCAGCAATACCCACAGCACTCCAAGTCAGCAGTCACTTAAGTAATAGAAAATAGGGTAGGAATATTCAGATATCATAAGGGAGTTATCTAGTCTTATCTACTAACAATGTGCACTTTGCTGAACCTCCATGCTATCTTCTCCAACAAGTTCCCTTCCTTTCCCACAAGCCCTACTCTTTTGTCTCTACTGGACGTCTGTTATCTTCCTCAATGTTGCTGTGTTCCTTCTCGCTTTGATTTTCTTAAAGTGTCTTCTTCTTATGTTTTACCCCACTCTCTACCTACATACCCACTTGTATCATTGATTTGTATGGAGCTTTAGAACATTTCATCTTTGACAGTACTTTACCACCACCCTAACTCGAACACTGGTAGTGCTGTGATAATTTCCACCACACATTCAATTTTTCAAAGCAAATGAGTGCTGCGCTCAGTGATTTATGTCACCTATGATACTAATCTTCTTCCAAACTTGAGCTTGAGCTTGACTCATTGCTGTCAACAATTTCTTTGCCCGTGTGTTGTGATGCACATGCCCTTGCTTTTCTCGGCACATAAACTTGCTCCCTGTGTGCCTGATATACTCAGATGTTCTTCATCCTGTCGCCAAGATCATCATCCTCTGAGAGCAAGACCCACTTGCACAAATGGGATTTGAGAGCATGTAGTAATGTCTGAACATGTGCCCTTCCACCCACCTTAGAAGGATTTTTCACTGTCTCCGGTAGAGGCCAGTTGTGTAGCTCGATGCCATAATGCTCGACAATAGCACACTCATAGTTTGTGTAATTCCTTTTCACCTTGCTTGACACATTGTTCTCCATCCAAATGAAATCTTAATCAATATTTATGTTAGTAGCGGAATAAGATTTGACAACACAAAGAATGTGTACCTAGCTCGGCTTGAATAAGCTTGCGACATTCACTGATGAGTTTGTTAAGTGGCCATGCACAGTTGAGAGACACATATTCATCTTTGAGACAATTAGTAGCATACAATGCTGAGGGAAAGACATACCCAGCTTGATAATAATGAAGGCTTCTAATTTGAGTCTGAAGTGCTGTGGTTCAATTCCCAGGATGTCCTGAATGAACTGTTGAGATTTCTTGGTGAAAAATATTTTTGGCTCCACAAGATCCTAAATTCTGCCACATGCAGCAACATAAAATCCTTCCATACCAGTGTGCGCATGAAGAGCCATCCACTGAGTGTAAGTTCAGCAACTTGAGCTGTAAGCACAATTACAAGATGAAAACATACCTCACAATCCATTGATGTGAATGCAGCATTCACATTGTGTTGGATGGCTTTGGGGTTTGTGCATGCAGTACGGTTCTTCGCTTCTCAAGCTTTGAGAACACAAATGTTGTAACCTTGCTTTTCAGTGACGGTGAGTCTGTGATAATCCCGCAGCAATCTCACCTTGTTGTGTGCAATGAACACTGTAAGTTTAAAGTGATCCCCTCTGCCTAGTCCTAAAAATGTGATTGTTATTTTCATTCCATTGTGGGTGAGAAAATAGGAATGTGAACTCCAGAGAGTCACAAGGATAGATACCTCGAGAGGCAAGCTAGTGATTTATTTGTTGTTGGAGACCGGCTTGCTAAGGTGAATGGCCGTGAAGGCGGGGACACGAGGGCACCTGCTGATGAATCGACAACATCCGAGTCGTCTGTTGTATGAGTAGTATATTCACATTTGTTGCTAATATGGTGATCACTTGTTGGAGGAGACTATCCGAGACCCCTTGTAGTGCACTGCTTGGTAATCCCACTGGCTACTACATCATTTGCAGTGAGATTGCAGTCCATGGATGCAGAAAATGCTAGCAGTTGAGGCAATGATGTTGAAAATGTAGTTGTTTAGTGGACCTGGCTCCGCTCCTTCAAAGTTCCATGGGTGTGGCCTATAAGCAGCCAGGACATGAAATATAATTGAAACAGTTGTTTGGCGGACCTGGCTCATCTACCGTCTTTCAAATATTGTACAACTGATGTGAGTGCTACAACTTGATGCTGGCTGGCTTCCATGGGCATGAAGGGAGCAAATGAGAGTATGGAATTGATAGTATAAAATTTAAATTGTGAGATGTGACACCAAATCCTCAAGCCCTACTGCCTCCTCATTCACTTCATCATCCTCCCTATCATCCTTGTCTCCATCCGGAACTGTTGAGTGAACAATAATTTGCAGCCATTCACCTGTATATGTTAGTTATATGATCATTCACCTCTACAGTATGCTTTTCTATCCTTTTCATGGTATCTATACGTACATATTCATTACCTATATTTCTCTGACCATTCACTCACTTTCCTGACCTCCCTAGGACTTGTCTAGGTCGAGTTATCCTTTACCTTTGTGTTATGGCTTGTCTGTTTACATTTGTTTACCATACATCGCCCATATCCCAGAGTCCAGTGCTCCCTGCCTCTTTGGCAACTTACTCTGGACTCTAGGTACTGTATACCTTTACTATACTTGAATACATTGGCAACTTACTCTGGACTCTAGTCCTGATCATCTTTGGTCACTCAGGAGCCTCTAGAAGCGGCCCATTCAGCTCCCATTGCAACAGTATATCCCTCAAGTGTGTATACCTTTTGAAGGTATTTGCAATGATTGATGTTGATGCAGTGGTGCTTGGCATGAAATTCCTTCAGTTCAGCTACAATGGGTTTCTATGCTAGCCTCAGAATATAGTCTACATGTGAATAAGCGAGGTGGCGCAGCACTTCTTGCTTCTACCCACCTTGCAGCCTTTTCCAACTTCTGAGTACTAGCTACTGAGTACCAGTTTTTTGGAACTCTTTTCAAATGGAGAACCCAAATGAAGCTATAACACCAGACTTTACTACAGATGAGCACCACCAAGCATGCCAACAGTTGGTTGACGACGGACTAATGACAACCAAGTAGCCCGCATGCTAGCAGCACTATGGACATTGTCTAATAATGCAGACAAAGTCCGCTGGGCTGCCAGGATGGAATGTAAGGACGAAATCCATCAAAGGGAAGAGGAAGAGAACATACAGCTCCAGCAAGCGCTTCAGGAGGAGGAAGAGGCAGCTCGCCTAGAAGAGCAAAAAAAGAACAAAAGCAAGTACACTTCAATTCATCGGGGAAAAGTTCCTTCCACCCTGTCTATCCTCCCAGCCATATACACTATAAGAAAGCTCAAGGGATCGCCTCTTAGTCCCACACTAAGTGGCACCCCGAATCAAGACCCTGGACACCACACCAGGTCAACACGCCCAACGGCGTCACCAACAGTCTTCCACCCAATCAATAGAACCCTTAAAAAACCCAAAAACATATTATAGATACTAACATTCACAGATGGCACCTCCCACAATGCCCGAGAAGAAAAAGAGCCCAAGGGACGGGACAAGCCCACCAACCACTCGAAACTCCAGAAGCTCAATGATGCAAGACGATATAGAATCCTTACCAGGTGCAGTGACAAACATTGATTCAGCAGAAAAGTACCTGGCCAGCGTACTTTTACGCCAAGCGGATGAACCACTCACCCTAATTCACATCACCGGAATCCTTTTTCAAATCACGCAAATGGCCAAGTCCACCCCTCTTCCAGTCGTCAACGCCATTCGAGCGGTGGCTTTCATCTTAAAACAATTGACCGCATCAGAGATCGCAGAAGCCGTGATTCTCCACCTTACTGACTCCGTGACCACCAGTATAGTAAACAATGTCGTAGCAGCCATCTCACCCCAAGTCGCAGCGATACACTCTGTATCCGAGGAGCTGAAAGACTCACTGACTCAGACCACAAAGCTTCATGGCGTAATAGAGAGAGAGAGGAACGAGAAAGAAGAGAGTCTCCAGATGGCGGCAGAGAGGATCGAAGACACAGTGGACATGCTCTATGAATCTATCGAAGACTGTAACAACTCCTGCAAGACCCTCACTCCATCACTAGAATCCACGCAAGACAGTATCAACTCCTTCTCCACTCAATTCTCCCAATGCCTGCCAGCGGAATCACATCCCACATCCCCATCACTAGCCCGCCCCACCTACAGCTCAATCGCAGCCACACTTCCCCCTCCACCTGTCAACCAAGCAGTAGCCAGGGCCGCAATACGAGCAAAACAGATCCTACTTGACCCTACTCCAGGACGCACACTCTTCGCACAGGACGACACCAACTCAATCATCGCCAAGAAAATATCCAACATGCTACTGGTGATATGCTCGGCAAACACCCCCAAGGGTACAGTGCGAGCCGTACAATGTCTCTGCAATGGAGGTGTCATCATCAAACTCAACAACGAGCAGCTAGCGAGTTGGCTACGCAGTCCCACTGGCAGACAGGCATTGGAAGCTCACCTGGACGCCTCGGCCAGCGTTCGGGACAGAACTTATGCAGTCGTAATCCAATTCCTACCTATTATGTACGAGATTGATCGAGAAGATTTCCCTCGTCTGATCGAAAACGAAAACAAACTTCCGCCCAACTCCATCGCTTCCCTCCGATGGATCAAGCCCCCCCAACGCCAATCAAAAGACCAACGCAACACCTTCGCCCTTCTGCAACTACGAGACGCAAACACAGCCAATGATACCCTCAAGGAAGGACTCTGTATCGACACTCAACAATACACAGTCAACAAAGACAAGAAAGAACCTACGCGCTATGCCAAATGCCAGAAATTCAGACACATTGCCCGCAACTGCTCAGCTCCACACGACACGTGTGGTACGTGCAGTGGACGACACTGGACAGCTCAGTGCAATGCATTCCGCACAGAATGCTGCGTCAACTGCAAAAGTCAGACCCACACGAGCTGGAGCCGCAAATGCCCAGAGTTCTTGCGCAGATGCTCGACATTAGATGAAATGTACCCGGAAAACAAGATGCTGTTCTTCCCTACAGAGAACTCATGGACCCACGCCTCACTCCCACCTAAGCCTCCCGTTCGCACCCCATCTAACAGCACGCCCTCTCGTCTAGTTAACGCCAACTTACGCACGCCAATCCCCCAAACCAAACAAACCACCCTCAGCTTCCCTACCACCTTGCAGCCCTCAACCGCCGCCCCCACCCCGCTGTCCACTTCAACCGCAGCCCCATCACCCAGCCAGCCAACGTCCAAAACCCATCAGATACCTACACTCCCTGGCCCTTCAACAACTTTCCCAGTCGTCCCTTCATCCCCATTCTACTCCGCTCCCTCAAGTCCCAACGCACTCCCCCTACTCCCATTGACCAATGCCTGAACAACCGGAAACCCCCAACACTGGCCTCAAGATCTGGCAGCAAAACCTTAACGCCTCCTTAGTAGCCCAAGAATCACTCATGAACAGCTCAGACATCTCCAACTACGACCTCCTAATCATACAAGAACCGCATATAAACTTCCTCCGCAACACTCGTGCCAGCCATCGCTGGCACGTCTTATACCCAACTAACCATTATTCACACCCACAGGACCGCTCACGAGCCATTACGTTCGTTAACACATCGCTCGATACAAACACCTGGCGTCAAATACCCTTCCCATCATCAGACATCGTCGTCCTTCAACTATCAGGAGAGTATGGTTCATGCTCGATCATCAACGTTTACAACGACTGCACGCACCAGCTCACCCTCCTAGCGCTGAACACGTTCCTCGACCAGAACATCACCGAACTCCGACCTTCAGCTGAAGATCACATGCTCTGGCTGGGCAATTTCAACCGCCACCATCCCATGTGGGAAGATACACGTAACCGGCACCTCTTTAATTATACTACCTGTAGCCCGCTTATTGACCTAATTGCTGACTATGGAATGTTACAGCTTCTCCCCGCTGGAATCCCAACCCTCCAAGCCTCCTGCACTGGAAACTGGACTCGCCCCGACAACACCTTCAGCACGGAAGGCATCATCGAGGCGGTGGTCTCCTGCTCGACCAACCCCTCTCGTCGAGGCCCCAAGACTGATCACTTGCCCATAATCCTAGAACTCAACCTCGAAGCCCCACGCACGGACGCCACACCACGCCTCAACTGGCGTGAGGTCGATTGGCCCAAATTCAAGGAAACACTCACCGCCAAACTCACCCATTATCTCAGCATCAAGCCGGATGAAATTGAAGCCTTGATTCCAGCCCGAAGAGCCCCTACCGCCACATGTCCCTACAAAGTCCACATTGCAGCATCAAGAATGGAAGCCGCAGACGAACATCACGACCTACCGGACCACATCCAAGTCTACGCAGATGGTTCGGGCCACAACAGAGGTATTGGTGCCGCTGCCATCCTTTTTCGGGCAGGAAGATCACCACGCACATTACGCTACTACCTGGGACCCAGCGAAGAACATACAGTATATGAGGCCGAAATGGTAGGACTGACCTTAGCGGCCAGACTCATAGCCACAGAACAGCAAATCGAATTCCCATTGTCGATCTCTATAGACAACCAGGCAGCACTAGTATCTGTTACTATGCGCAGTAAAGAGGACTAACCAGCATTATGACATAACGCTAAGATGGGTCCCAGGCCATGAAGGGGTACATGGTAACGAAGAAGTGGATAAGGCAGCGAAAGTAGCAGCAGAAGGCTCTCATCGTTCAAGTCCCCGTGCGTTGCTCCCCAAATTTCTTCGTAACGGTCCGCTACCGCTAAGCATTGCAGCATTGAAACAAGCCCACCGAACGCAAGTGCAAGCCAGGTGGTCGAGGATCTGGCCCACCTCCCCCCGATATCAACGCCTACACGAAATAGATCCCAACGCGCCCAACAGATTTTTTCTCAAGCTCACTGCTCATTACTCCAAACGACTCACCAGCCTCTTAATCAGTCTCCGCACTCATCACATCCCCTTGAACAAACACTTGCACTGACTAACCAAAGCAGACTCCCCCCATTGCCCTCACTGCCCGCAAGCAGAAGAAACCATACACCACTATCTATTCGCATGCCCCCAATATCAAAGAGAACGTCACATCCTGTCTCGTGCGCTCGGTTGCAAATCCACTTCACTACCCCACCTCCTAGCAGCACCCGAAGCCATACCCCATTTGGTTTGTTTTGTTAATGCCACGTGTCGCCTAAAATCAACCTTAGGTGAAATCTTGTTACCCCCAGCACAAGCAGATTGACAGCCTCACCCTCGCAGTTTCACCCTCCATGACATCCATCCCAACGCCACGCTACCACGTTACCATACACTCCCTTAATCACCCCACCACATAATCGCCCAGCTCCTATCCTACCCAAAACTAAAACACTCCCGCTCGCACACACGAGATCGAAGGCTCTTAAACCTAAGGATTCAGCCGATAGGCGAATGGAATACCCTCCTTGACACGCTATGCTAATTGTCACCCACCGCATAGTGATGAAGCGAGCACGCGCTTCCCGAATTTCAAAAACTTATTCCACACTAAAAACCCTACCGCATCCCTTACTCTTTCTCTGTTTGGTCTGCGAAAGCAGCCGAGCACGCGTTATGTTACATTCGTCACATCAAAACACTTAACAGTATATTCTCTAGTCACTACATCTTCGACAAATTGCTCATCTAAAACGGCCGGCGGGAACGGCGGATTGGTGAGGGTACGCCCTACACCAATGCATTTGAGGATTTGGAGATATAGCACGGGGCACGGGGCCCCTTGACTTGACAGTAATGTCCTACATAGAGTAGCACTCTCAATGGACATAAAACAGGAAAAAAAGAAAAAAAAAAAAAAGGAAAGCTCAAGGCGGGTGACTACTGCGAGCTACACTATTTCACCAACAAAGGTCTCAATAATGCAAAGGTAGCCACAACAATCAATGAACCCAATGCGCTCGTTATGTTGCCAGCCACTGATGGAATACACTCATGGGTACCTGCAGCAGCGGTGAAAGACCCTAAAGCGTCAGCAGTAGTGAAGGATGAACATTTATCCTGGGAGCAATTTAATGAGGCAGCACCACATATGATATTAATGATGAAGGTCCACAACTGGCCCAACGACAGAGTGGATATGCACATTCCATCATTGTAGGCATGCACCGGATCCTCTCAAGCAATGAGCATTGCTACTCTACCAATCACAGCAGTGCCGTCATTGGCACTTAACGGTAGCCACATTGCAAGGATGGAGTTTAGAAGAAATAAATCAAGAACTCCTCCTTGAAGCAAGGGAAGAACTCTACAATGAGAAGTGAGACAAGGAAACAGCTTTAGCAATTCAGGTCAGTCTATTCCCCAATGCCAATTGAGAAACCACACTCAACCCTTTTTGCATCTACCCTCTTTCCACCCTTTCATGCTCTGATACACATCATCACCCCCTCATCAGCCATCACATGCCGACAACCACTCGGTGTATCACATGCTTGCACATCATATATCTACGACGGCGCACACCGGCCAATCACTCGGCTTTGCTCCTCACAACAAACACGCCCACTGTGGCACCAACATCTCGTGTTTTTAACAAACACCACTCAATGATGTGATATGATGATTATACTCACAATAACCAACATCCTCACAATCCACAATTGTACGCTACCAACCATTCATCACACGCTACTAGCTAGCCACAGCAGCTTTCATAGCAAACAACCAGAACATACTATGCCCTCAGCAAGTCACTCACACACAGCAGACGGCTCCTTCACAGAAACAGCCATACCCGCAGCAGGAAGATTTGGCTAAGATTAGGTTTCAATATAGACTGAAAGAACTGGACAAAGGGAGGTACATTGGCCCTTTCCAATTGGAAGAACTCAAGAGCCTGATGGGCCCGTTCCAATCCTCACCCCTGGCTATTATTCCCAAACCAGGCATGCCAGGGAAGTTCAGAATTGTCCAAAACTTTTCATTTCCGAGCATGATGAATACCACATTCCCCAATTTGTTGATAAACTTGTACATAGATGCAAACAACTTCCCGACAGCTTGGGGAAAATTCTTGATGATATATCACCTAATATTGAGTCTCCCCCCAGGATCGGAAGCGGCCACCCGCGATGTCGCAGAAGCATAATGTATGATCCTGCTGCACCATTCCCAATGGCCAGCAGGAGTTGTTAGAATATAAAAAGATCTATTCTGCATGGATACTTGCACATCGTTTGGAGCCACACCCTCGGCCAGAGTTTACGGTCACATTGCAGATGGAGGAGCAGAAATCCCTCGATAAATGGGTAGACGACCATATGTTTTTCCGAATCCACCGCAAGTACCTGCACAGCTACAACAAACAATGAGAAGAATGGAACCGTCACTTCACCAAGGATGGCATGCAGCAATCAGGAGGTAGACTTTGGTGTGGGGACATCTGTGCGGTCAGTGGACAGCTAAACGAACGAAGTGAAGACTGTTCACAACCATTGCAGGACTTATCACAATGCTCTACATGATCAGCGCATGACACTCTATTCACGTTAGGCATCCAGGACATAGATCTCATATCAGATGATCTAGGTATCATCTAGGAGAAGCTCAAAGACCAACCTGTTCGACAATCCACCATTTATATTGGGTTTTGCTGCAACTCAAGAACAGTCTCACTGAGTTCCACTAAGGTCGATAAGTATATGGCCACAATACACAAATGGAGAAAGTGCCGAGTTCACGTTCTATAAGACGTACAAGAGCTCTATGGCAAACTACTACACGCGTGTTCAGCAGCACAGAAAGGATGGGCCTACCTTACCGGACTCAAAGACATGCTCGCCTACTGCAACGAGAAACCTTTCATGCCGCATAGAACCGGTGCTCATGTAAGCGATGACATAAACTGGTGGTCCAGCCTCCTGCAACAAGGAGGCATGTCCAGGATCATTCACCCCCCAACCCAACTTGTAGACACCCTCGCGTTTTCTGACACAAGTTCAGGCATCGGAATAGGGGTAGTAGTCGGCGGATACTGGCGGGCTTGAAGGCTAATCCCAGGGTGGACCACGTTTGAAGGCAAAAGAGACATAGGTTGGGTGGAGGCAGTAGGGCCAGAGCTCCTCATCCATGTTCTCGCCGCTATCCCTGGCCTTAGCAGCTAAATCCTTATCCAAGGAGACAATACTGGAGTGGTGGAAGGATGGTGGAAGCACAGGCACCACAACAAGGCCATCAACAGTGTTTTCCACAGAATATACAACTTCATCAACCATATACCCCACCGTTTCGACGTTGTCACAAAGTACATTGCCAGTGGGTCTAACCCAGCCGACAGACCTTCACGAGGAGTATACGGCCCCCAGTGCTTTCTTCTCCCAGCAGTCACCATTCCACCCGAGCTTAAAATTTTCATCATCGATGCCACAGAGCCACTGTCTTCCACTGAAATCCACCATCTATGCGAGGGAAACTACTCCACCCCAGCTGCTAAGCTTGTCAATCGAGCTCTCAATGTGCAGCAAGCCGCAGAGAGAATCAGAATAAGCAGAGCAGAAGAAGAAGTCCTCATCACCAACTCACTCAAGGAGGAATGACTCCATGGCACCCACCTGTTTCAACACCCCGCTATTGAACGATTCCAGTATTTCCCTTGCACCTCCAAAACCCCAACAATACAAACCAGACCTCACACCCCACCATTTTCTGCTCCGCCCATACTGCTTAGCTCACGACCAATTAAGATTATGGGTCCCAGCAGGAGCCAAAGCCCAACAGGAAGTAAACTCCATCAGCGCAATTGAACCCCACGACATCTCAGACGAACAATTGAACAGAATACTAGACGTAATGGGGTCCTCCTTGGCTCAATTAACCAAAGAGACCTACAGAATAGAACTTCCCATCTACCACATATTTTGCAACAACAATGGTGTCACAGAGGATAACCAGTGTCCAGCAACACCCAACCTAATTTTAGCATTCCTATCCAGTTGCACAGGTTTCTATTCCAGTTCTGCCCTATCCAATTTCGCAGCAGCGCTAAGGGCATGGCATCTTCTGCATGGCAGAAAATGGGCTATCCAACAGACCAAATTCAAATTAATTTTATAAGGAGGATCCTCATGCGCCCCATCATTGTCTAAGCGCCCCAAATGTCTCCTCCCTTTCCCTCCCCCATACTTAGCAGCCATCTGTAATAACCTGAACTTGGAAGACCTGCTGGACACAGCCATCTTCACCTGCCTCACAACCATGTTTTATTCAATCGCGAGAGTAGGAGAATTTACTGTAAATGCATACAAAGAATTCCACCCAGTGAAGCACATCACCAGGAGCGGTGTCTCTCAGACAACAGACCGTAATGGACTCCCAACCACCAAATTTTGTATTCCATGTACGAAATCATCGCCTACCAAAGGAGAGGAGACCTATTGGGCCGCTCATGAAGGACCATCTGACCCCAAATTTGCACTAGAAAACCACTTGAAGGTCAACCAAGCAGGAAGTGAGGAACATTTGTTCATGTGGAAGCATGAGTCCAAAGGCATGAACACCTTATCAAAGCAGGAGTTCCAGAAGAGAATAGCAGCAGCAGCAGCCAAACTTCCAGAGTTGAAAGGGCATAGCTTGCGCATAGGAGGCACACTAGAATACCTATTACGAGGTGTTCCTTTTGATGTTGTCAAGACAATGGAAAAATGGTCCAGTGAGGCATTTACACTCTATTACCGAGACCATGAAATGATCCTAGCCCCATACATTCAAGCCACCCCAGTACTCAAACTGTTTACTTGCTACATGTTGCCCCCAGTGCACTAAACGAATCCAGTAAGTACAACTCCTAAATTAAGGGCATTAAGCTTCGCTGTATGCATCATTGTCCTCCTAATAATTGGGAACACAGCTCACCTTCTGATGCCTAGGTTCAGACCTCCAAAAACCTTTTCACCCAATTATCCTGTCTTATGTTACCCACAGTCCATACACTCATTCTACTATCATATTCAAGGTTGTACCTGTCAGCAATACATCAGTTTTCTTTCAGAAGCTAACCAGCGTTTAATACACATAGAGCAAAGATTCTGCATCATCAGTGAGAAGGGAACCAATGACTTCCAGTATGCTCCTGTCCTTGTGCTCAACCCAGCTCTGTAAGTGCTTGATTTCGACATTGAGGCAGACAAAAACTGTCAGAGATGCTATGATTTGTAATGATACACATCCTCAGCTCAGTATACCTATTCATGCATGTCCCACTGATCGAAATGAAGGTTGAGATATTGCACCCAATGGAAGGGTGATGCGTCTCTGATCAGTACTGCAGCGCTGTTCGAACTTGCAAAGATTTGTTCGCAAGTTTTGAGGTCTTTGAGACCTAGGCCGTTCAAATATAAGGGGTGATTTTGCAGTTGACAACGGCAGTGAAAAACCCATGGAATACATTTACGCCAACTTGTAATTTAAGTTCAGCCACCTTGGCTCCAATGGAGCTTTATGCGATCATTTTTCGAAACAAGCAAGCAATGTCATGTCCAATTGCTTGGTCAGCACTGCAGACATCTAGCAGTTGCTCAACAACAGCTAGACCATATTTTGCGCTATCAACAAACAGGTAGTCATGTGATGAGTAATGTGATAAATCAAAGCTTATATTTCACCACTGTGTGAAATCTCACTTACAACCTTTATGATCCCATGATGACATGCCAGAAAAAAAATCCCAGTCTGATTGAACATAGTGATTTTGTTCTCTTCAGAAGACTTTGCAGCCATCCAGTGTTTGTTCTGTGCAGGCACTTGTTGTTGAGTCTGCCACAGAGCGTCCACCAGAGTGATAACATTGATCATCAGCCTAACTGCTGCCTCAGAAATGAAATATCAGATCCAGAATATTCTTAGATCTGCAGATCCAGAGTCGTCCAATCACTTCACCAACAAATTACCATCCATGACATGGAGGCATGCTGGCAATAATGTTGGTTCACCTAGTTGCTAAATATTACATGACTAATTCAAATTATGATCTTGATAGAAAGATATTTGCCTTGAACGCACATGAAGGGCAAGCACCATTCAACTGCCACTGGTCAGGGTCCCTGCCCAGGAGGCAGTCAACATGGCTCTACACTTGCCACAATATTTGCAAATTGACATCAA